CCACGGAAAATGACAGACTGTTTGTGGATTGATAAGCAACTTGACGAAATAAAATCTGTAGGCAGGGGCCCAGCAGTTACAGATGAAAAGCAAATCACCATTTGCAAGGGTGGGCATTTTCAGATTTGGAAAAAGATTTGGATGGTGTAATCCGAGGAGGGTATCAGAAAGCCAGAAGCCACGTCCACTTGAGATAAGGGGACAAGAGTGTTTGTTTGTTATGAAGCAGTCAACAGGCCGAAGGTGTTTTGGTTTCTTTGAACTAGTTTGAAACGCATGAAGAGTGCCCCATTCTGCACTTGAAACTTCTCAACGAAACTCTTCGAGTTTTTTTCCTCAGGACATTGGCTGAAGATATCAAGACAGTGAAGGCCTTGAGGTCGCTATCAGCTCCGATTCTGATAGCAGGACGGCGATGCTTGAGAGTTGACCGTCTGACTGCTGCCAAGATATCAATGGAACCAGTGCAAACGTCTCCAGTTTCCCTTTGAACCGACACAACAAGTGTAAGTGATGAAAGGCCTTTTTTTCTTGCCTTACTGCAGCTATATCTTGCAAGTATTTCTTCATGATTCAGAAGCCTTGCAACAATTAGGATCCCCAAGCCCCTTCAAATCTTCAAACATGAAAGATATCAAACGCAGGGCTCCAAGTAGGTCCTGACCCTTGTCAATCATCAACAGCACGACTGTTAATGTTTCCTGTAGGGTGCAGGGCTCCTGGACATGTTCAATGCTGGCAGGAGAGTGCCCGCGACAGCACTTCGAGATGAACGGAGGGTGCTTCATGGTCTGCTTGGCTGCATTACAATCATTACATTCATCATAGGTGTGTAGCAAACAGAAATGCTTGGAATGAAGGAAAGTGATAAAACCATTAAAGTGCAAATTGTCTTCAAACCATTTCAAACCACCATTTTTCCAGACATCTTGCTGCAAGAATCTTGCTATTTCTCCAAACATCGCCGTAGGAGTCATCACTTCACTTAGCTGCCAAGGTGCCGCAGGATTTGCGCAGTTGGCTCCGGAACTTGGATCCAAAGTGTTGGAACTTCGAAGACCTCTTGAGGCTTTCGGCCTACTGTTTCCAGGCGGGATGGAGGGATCCAGGGGGATTTTAAAATGGACGAATTGTGACTCATGGATCAAGAGTACATAAGAGTACCATAGATCTGTTCCAAGTTTTTTGCAGCAGAATTGTTGAAGCTGGAGCCCAGAAGCCTCGTCCTTGCAAGACTCCAGGGTTCTGACAAGCCTTGGTTGCGCTATTCAAAGTCATTGGTCTTGTGGTTCCCCTCAGCAATGAGTCATTGGTCTTTGGTTTCCATTAAACCCAAACTGACCGTGGTCTAATAGATTCATCGACCTTCTAACAATGATCCAATCATTTTATTGAAGACAGATCCTTCGATTCCAGCTGGGTTTGTCTTAAAAAAATGGAGGCTATACCATGGTATAACCCCCCGAACGAATCAAAACACAGTGATGTTCATAGGGACACTTCGTTTCCGCATCTTTGGATTAATGGCCAACCTCCAAGTTTTGTTTTGAGGGAAAATCTGCAAATTCTCCCTAAAAATCCATCCATTGAACACCCTTCATTATTGAACAACCTCGGGAATTCCGAACGCGCAGGAGGCGACCGTAGAGGACCTGGAAGGCTGTCCGCTGCTTCTCACCCGGCGTGAGGTGAAAATCTTCCAACACTGCGGCCCTTCACGACCCTTCGCAGGGATGGGATCGATTGGGGAGACAGGTCAGCTACCCTCCACTATCTATGGAAAAAAAAACCGGCCATTTGCTTCGATGCTTTACCTGTTAGACTTGGTGATTTTCCATGTCGCAAAGTGTTAGTTTATTGGAGGGCAATCCCATCCCTCTAATATTAAACACCTCCTAACCCCTTGGTGAAATGTCTTGAGTCTATTAGTTTGGGGGCCCGTATGGGGGTGTTTTTGAGGGGGCAAGGGATTATAGGCGGGATATACGACAACTGGGAGTTATGCATTGAATATACAAACTTCAGGGATGATCAAAGGTTTTGGAGGGGTGGCTCGCTTTTGGGGGTCCGCGTTCGTATGACACTGTTTCTTCAACTTCAAGTGGAAGTGCAAATGATGCTGTCACCTGTGCGTTTGCTCAACTGATGAAGAGTGGAATGGCCAAACGTACGTCGGCAGTCAGAAGGGTGAAGTCTTCGTCACTGTCTTTCGTGTTGTTTTTCGTCTTTGCCATCTTTTCATTGGCATCTTGTTGATTTTTTAAGTTTGTAAATCTCACAATATATGTGTTGCTAGAGACTTAGGAATCTTAGGATTGGGATGAAGGGATGAATCGCAACTGAGGATATATTTGCTGCCTCACACCTGAAGACTTGGATCTGTCAGAGCATTTGCCGGCAGGAGACTTTTTGCACCAGGAGGCGGCTCTGTCGTTGCGGGTGGCCCAGGGTGTGTGAAGCATGGGAAAACTTACAAACAAAATAGGACAAAGAGTTGCTTGAGACAAGGAACCAGGATTCTTCCGTGTGAACACGACTCTCCATTTTGTCACCTTTTGTGCCATCCTCTTTTTTGGGCAACACCTTCCTTTCCCGTTGCCACCGCAAGTACTGTGCCAGGTGAAGGCCGAAGTGCTGTTGAATCACCCGCAGATTGAGCGTTTGACCGCGGAAGTCTTGGCAAAGTTCGGTGCAACCGGTGCCATGGGTGTCACCAAGGCCTTCTCCACCGCATTTTGGCGATGGCTTCCGCATGCCGTGCAGCGTCAGCGTTGTCCTGAGCTACCAGATCCACCACAGTCAGAGGTGAGTGGAGAAAAATTGCGGTCATTATACACCCCCACTCCACCCATAATTGGTTTGCATGGCAGAGGCTGTACAAAATGGGATGCTGGCTAGAACCGTGACATAGACTGTGGCTCCAAATGCCGTTTCTTGCCCTGAACCTTTGATTTTTGCTATAGGATCACATCCTCGACGATTTGAATGTCCTCCAAGTGTTGGACTCCGATCACATTTGGCCGCTGAGTGAGAGAAAGCGGGCCTTGCAGAGGTCACATGCAATTTCTCAGAAGCTGGAACAAGGTTTGATCGCCTGCGGTGCTCTGTTGGTGTCTGACGTGTTTTCTTGCCCCTCCTGCGAACTTCCTGACGCCGTTGCCCGCGCGTTGGCCTATGCGCTTGAGGATGGCAAGACATGTCAGGTGACTGAAGCAGGGGATGACCTGATTCAGATGGTGCGCAATGAAGTCCTGGAGAAACTCTCCCAGTCGCAGTTGCCCGAAGCTGTTCAGGTTGCAGGGTCTGGGCTGATGGATGGATGCAGTTGGAAAGCTACTGCTGAGAGTAATGTTAGTGTAATTATTTGATACTATTTGTACAAAGTAACTTTTTGTTTCTCACACAAACTATCCGGATTGTTGACCAACATTTCCTGTTGGGTCCCTCAACTTAAAGAGACACATGTCCACGCCACTCCAGATGTTTCTCAGGGTCCCTTCCTTCACCAGGTGGCGTCCAAGCTTCCCATCTTCTGCACCTGGGCTGGTGGCTTCGAGTTGCCGGCGTCCAAGAAGTTGATGCCAGAGCTGCCACCCTCACTGCGGGAGGCCCTTACTGGGCGACTACAGCTGGATGCGTTGGATGAAAGCCGCCCAAGCCTCGTTGCTCTGCTGGAGAGGATGGGGTTGGAGCGCCTGAGCCTTTTGGAGGTGGCCAGAGAGACCCTGCAACAGAGCAAGGCCCCCGAGGTGATGGCTGAACTCCTGCGTGCCAACTTGTTCGAAGCTTTCCAGGATGTTGAGGTCTTTGTCACACAAGGAGGGCAGCTCCTGAAGTCCAAGTCATGCTTGCTTTGGGACTGTGAGAGTGAGTTTCACTTCATTCCGCGAAGAATGGATCCTGCGTTGGCCAAACATTTTTTGGAGGTGCAGAGCCAGCTGAAGATTCTTGCATTCCGAACAGAATTAGATGAGCAAGATGTGCTGGGCTTGGCTAGGCAAGCCCAAGACACTCAGGACCTTGCTTTGTCTGAGAAATTGATCCAGCGTTTGGACCGTCATGCTCACATGGTCGAGATTTGTGCATCCACAGAGCTTCGTTCTTTGAAGTGGCTGCCCGTATCACATCCAAGCTCTTCCATGAAGGAACTGATGGCTGCAAACGGAGGAGTCTGGCAGCACAATGCCAAAAGTTTAGTTGGTCTGGTCAAAGCGTTGGTCGATTCGCAGGCGTCTGAGAAATTGCTGAATGCTCTCAGGGTTCCAGGAGACAACTGTGTTGATGATGCTGTTTTGCATGAGCAGTTGGCAGCCTGCATCAGAAGCGAGGGCAACCAGGAGAGCAAGGTACAGATGGTCACTCCAATCTACCAGCGTTTGAAGAGCACTCCGTCAATTGACAAGTGGGTCTGGACCACCTGCGGCTTTCAATCCCTTGTGGATATCTCCAAAGATCCTGAAGTGGAGACGCTCACCCCATGCCTTCAGCGTTTGAGGGATGAGTGGCATTCTCTCCCAATCTTTGAGACTACAAACAAAAAGCTCACGCCTGAAATGCTTTTCCGCTGCTTGGACATGACTGAACAAATGACAGGAGAATCCAAGCACAAAGTCCAGTTGGCTGCCATCAACTTGCTCACTCGGCACAAAGCACTTGATGGTTCTGAACCAAAACTAGCTGATTTAGCTGGGAGTTGTGGTACAGAATTGCGAATCATCAGCAGAGGTGGCAATTTGCTCCCAGTGTCAAGTGTTTTTTTCCATGACATGAAGTGGCAAAGTCAAACTGAGGGTTGCCCAGAAGACATGGAAGAAATCCATGAAGATATCGCTGAGTCTGCTTATGTGCGGTTCGGAGTGCGGAACCTTTCCGAAATTCTGGCTGCGGAGTGTGGCTGTGGAGAGGGAGATTGGCTGGAGATCACAGGACAACATGAGCCCCTCACAAGGCGATTGAAGAACATTCTGAAGGACTACCCTTGGCAAGCTCTTGTGAAGGAGATGCTGCAGAATGCAGAGGATGCTGGGGCCTCAACCTTCAAGGTTCTGATAGACCGTCGGCCCCGTGGCGATCAATCGTTGCTGACTCCTCAGATGGCTGGTTTGCAAGGTCCTTGCCTTTGGTTTTACAATGACGCGGTATTTGAAGAAAAGGATTTCCGAGCCCTGGTGAGTCTGGGGCAAGGAAGTAAATCCGGAGAGGCAGGCAAGATTGGGAGGCATGGACTTGGCTTCAACGCCATTTTCAATGTCACGGATGTTCCTTCAGTGCTGAGCCGGCAGCAGCGACCTTAGTTTTTGGAGTGTGTAGAGACCCTCTTGGACCCCAAGACTGAACTTGCTTGGTCCTGTAAGTCAAGGCCTAGATTTGGCATCTTTTTCCTGCAATTTCGAATAATTAATTTTGAGCAACCTACCCAGGTCAGTACCTTGCTTAGGTCTACTTTTCGGCTCACTTAGGCCTACGTCACAGATACATGATTATATTATATATATATAATATATATATTTGCAATAGACAGACATGAGCACATATGATTATATCTCCTGTACCTCTAGTGATCCCCTCTGTCCCCTGTCCCAGGTCCCACCTGTGCCTCTAGTTGTCCCCACTGTCCCCAGTCCCTCCCTAAAGATAAACCATTAAGGTGTGTAGCCAATAGACCCCAATATGATTTAGGTCGTCTCCTGTACCTCTAGTTGTCCCCACTGTCCCCAGTCCCTCCTAAATATAAACCCTAAAGGTGTGAATCCACATCCAAGATTGTCGGCCTAAGTGATCCAAAAAGTCGTCCTAAGTGATCCTTGGACCAGTTATCCATGCGTCCACGTGTTGAGTTTGTTTTGCCCTGGGTGGGTCTTGGAGTCATTCTGCAAGTTTTGACCTATCCTTGGTTTTTCATGGTCCCTGCTTTGATTTTTGGTCTCAGGTCAATCCTTTTCCTGGACCCCCACGTGGAGCACTTGAAGAAGCTTGGTGCTACCGGTACTCAGCCCGGCATTCGGCTCAACTTTGAAAAGAAGAACATTAAGACTGCATGGCCAGATCAATTTGCCCCGTATGAGATCGAAGGATGCTGTCTCTCCAGTGGGAATTTTGAGGGAACTCTGATCCGCGCTCCCCTTCGGACAGCATCATCAAACAGCCAGATCAAGGCAGAATGTTTTGGGGAGGAAGAGATTGCAAAGATAATCGATCTCATTTGCCAGAGTGGTCATCTTTGGCTTCCTTTTTTGAGAAATGTCAGAAAGATTGAGGTTTACGACCTACAGGCGGGAGAAACCTTGTGCGTGCATGAGCGAGATTTGAAGCAAGAGGTTATCTACATGTGCGAAGGGCAGATGGAGCAGTCGCTCTTGTCAATCCGCAGCAGGTTCCTGGATGGCGCACTGGACAAATGCAGGACGTATCAGCTTTCCAATCAAGCCGAGGTGAGCGTGGCGCTGCCACTCTGTCCAGAGAGCGGGTCTGAGCCAGGTCGTGTGTTCAGCAGGTTGCCTCTGGAAATGAAGTCCGGTCTGGCAGCTCATGTTTCTGCGTTGTTCTGGACATCTGCAGACAGAAGAACCATTGTGCTTGACCTCCACAAAGACCTAGAAGGGTGGGCAGCACAGAACCACAATCATTTGAAGAACATTGTGAGATGCTTGGTAGCCTCAATCGCAACATGTGCGAAAGAGAAGAACCAGACCTTGTTGGATTTCTTTCCGCACTCCGAGAAACCAAGCCCAGTAGCAGAGGTGCTTCATGATCTCTTCTACCATGAAGTGGTGCAGGAATGCCACAAAGGCCCCTCTCAAGTTCTGTTCACAGTTTCCGGAGAAGCTGTGTTAGCATCAGATGGTCGTGTTCTGTTGGTGAAGAATGACTTGTGGCCACAGGCACTTAGAGAGCTGCGAGCACCTCTGGTCAAGGTGAGTGAAGATGTCTTTCTGGGCCTTGTGAAGAAGGATTCAAGCCTGTTTCGAGAGCTGACCCCGGCAAACTTGAGACAGTGGCTCAAACGTCTTGACCCCTCGCTTGATCATGTTTGCGATGAACAGCTCTTGCAATTTTGTTTGGAAGACAAACCGTCTCCTGCGGATTTGGCAGGATGCCCGCTGATCTTGAAGCTGGATGGTGGAGTGAGTCGCTTTCTTGGACATGTAGATGAGGGTTCACCACGCTTTCTGTGCTGTTCCAGCCCAGAAGAGTGGGAGCTGGCCCAACACTTTCCTCCAAGTTCCGTTGTGAAGTTTGTATCCAGCGAAGCCTTGCAAGCTCATCCGCAAATCCTAAAGATGGATCTTCTCAGTGTCGCGACACTTGGCAGAGAAGCCTGCGGAGAGAACTTCTTTCAGTCTTTCTGGCCGTGGTTCAATCTGTTCACAGCCAGAGACCCTTCTGCAAAGTTTGCAGATCCACCTGTTCCAGAGCATCCTCTTGACTGCCTTCACGTCCTAGAGGCAACAGAGCATGGCCAGCGCAAAATCTTCAAATTGCTGGAACGAAAGAGAGCCTTGAGCTCTTCGTCAGATGTGGCGCAGGAGCTTGAAAATGGCTTGGAGGCTTGCAACGTTTTGCTGGTGTCTTCAACAGCACATGCTGGTGCACATGTTTGTCCAGGGGTGAATCCAGATTCTGTTGCGCGTGCTGTGCACTCTGCAATCCACACGCAAAACTTGCAAAATCCGTTCCATGCAGGAAATACTCCGTTAGGAAGCTGGCGGGCAGTCGCAGGGCAGCTGGCCCTTTCAGAACTGCCCGAAGCAGTCGAAGCCGCTGGATTTTTGCCAGCTTTTCGACTTTGGAGCAGAAGTCAAGCAGTGCATCCTCAAGTCAAAGAGATGTTTCCTCGCAGTGCCAGCAAAGCTCTTCGTGATGCTCTTCGCGCAGTTCAGCTAGACGTTTTGGACGAAGAAGAGCCGAGGCTGGTGGAGCTTCTGCAGAAAATGGGTGTCAAAGACATGCCTTTGAAGACAATTGCTGATAAGGCTTTGCGTCAAACCAAGGACCTGACCTTGATTGTCCAGCTTGTCAAAGAAGGTTTAGGAGACATTCTCAAAGGACACCAAGTGTTTCCAGCTCATTCGCAGATTTTGCTGATCCCAGAGGAGTGCTTGCTGTGGGACAAGGAGCTTGATTTTGAAGTGATCCCACGTCGAATGTGCAAAACGGCAGGAGAGCGTTTTCAAGGCTTGGAAGGGAAGCTGCTGGAAATTGGCTGCCGCTGGGAGTTAGATTTGCGAGACGTGCTGGACTTGGCTAGGCAAGCCCAAGACACTCAGGACCAGGGTTTCACTTTTCCTGCGTTTTGTCTTGCATCCAATTTTGACTTAAACCAATGTTTTTTGATGGTAAGTTTAATGTTGGTTACCTTGCCATGAGCTGAGTTTCACTGTAATGTTTCCTTCGGCACCACGGGCTTCAAAACAATCTGCGGCATTGATGCTACTTTCGCCTATAGTGCACTGCTCCGCGATACGGCTTTTGACGAGGCGGTGCATTTTTTTGAACTTATACTTAGTATCTTTACAAAGAGCCAATTCTGCAAGGGCACACCGTTTCGCACCGAGCCCCCCGAGGTTCTTTTCCCACAGGCACAGAATCATTTTAAGAAAATCGCAGCGGTTTGAGCACTTGGGAGTAGCCGGATTGTCACACATTGGGCCAGGATGGCTGTTGACTTGGCAAGCATTAGATGGAGATGAAAGGTATGTAATATCCATAGGGCGTCGCTAGCTCCTCACACCCTGTTGCCTGCACCTTACCTCATGCGTTGCCATGAATCGCCCGTTTCATTCGACAAAGCTTCCTTGTCCATTGGCCGGATCTTACTTCCATCTCCTGCTGCGTGGAATCGCAATGACCAGAAATGACATTATGTTTTCATTCTTTGACTGCCTGTTGGAAAATCACTTTGAACATGCGCATTACATGGCAAGATTTAGAGAGGTTTGGTCTTCATAGCGCCCGCTTGGAAAATACCTTTCTGGAAGGCTGGGAGCCCAAAGAATGGCCTTTGCATGCCTGAAAAGCAATGCGCCCATGGTCCTCAGCAGTCCTCACTGTCAGGATCCTTTGGCTTCTGCAGCATCTCAGCTGCAATTGGAAAGTCGCTGAAGGTGCACGCTGGGTGACAATCCATGGGCTCGCTTTGGCAAAGCTAGTTGCTTGGGCACATTCTTCGCAATTTGCATAGCAGGTCATTGTTGGGGTTTTGGGTGTGTTCCTCAAAGCACAAGTCGCCTGTCGGCAAGCCGTAGAAACGCAATCAGGAAGCCAATTTGGCAGGCACATGTTTTAGAGAACAACCCTTGCCTCAAGGATTCAGGTCTTGACTCGGGGCTTCTTCTCGGACCTTTCTTTGAACTTTTTCACTGTCTGAGTCGGGCTCGCACTGCTCATGAGCTGGGTCATGCATTTCTTCATCCAAGACTTCGCCCATCAAATGTTATTCATGTGTCGGCATGGCGTTTCAAACTGGACCATGATATGCAGCTGCCGCGCGGGTTGTTGCTGGACCTGAAATAGCATGGGCTGCAACAACGCTAAACTCAACAAAAGACGGGACGGCGTTGAGACCCGGCAGCGTCGGAACGGTTTGCGGTTTGCATCATAGCGAAAGCAGAAACCATGACCAATATTATTCAGTCCCTGCACGCATTAAAGTCACATACGATGGATGAGGGCAAGAGTTTGACGGCAGAGGCATAGGAGACCTATCTGCAGAACCATCAGGTTATGTTAGTGCAGGATGGTGCGAGGACGTATGTTGAGACATGTCATGGCTGTATGTCCGTTCCTCCTGAAACATGGCGGCATGGTGCAAAAGGACTTGCGTGTTTGTCTCCAATCCCCGGGCTGCAGTTCCCTCCATGTACAGCTGCCGCGCTGTGAATTCCAATCTGGAGACGTAGTCCCTGCAAGGCGGCAGGGTGCCAGTCAGCTTGGGACTTGACACGCGCCGAAGGTATTCAGGCAAGGAGCTGGAGTGACTAAAGGGTTGCCGGCACCGTCATCAGAAAGAATTAAACTTCCACAAGCTGGCCGGCCGAAATATGGGGTAGAATTCTGGCAAACTGTCGCAGACGTCTAGATTCTGCGCATCCAATGTGCTAATTGACCATGCTGGGGTGTCAAACGCATCAAGATCTTCTGGGTTCGTTTTGGGTGTCAAACAGGAGACGTGCATGTGCCGGTGAAGCAAGCACTTTGGATGAACACATTTGCTTGACCAAAGTAAGTTGGACGCGCAAAATACGAGTAATATTCTGATGAAGGCTAAGGAATAGATTGGCCCGCCGTTCCAAACACATCTACTGGATGGTTCTATCAGTGCTTTTACATCAAAGATTCAACATAACATCACAATACATGAGGCGTCGAGGATGCTGATCCTTCCGGTCATGGTCCTTTTCCTTCAAATTCTTTTGCTTCTCGTCCTTGCTCACATGGGCTTTGAAGTTCCTGAAAGGGAAAGCCTGGCAAGTAGGGAAAGCCTGGCAAGTAGCACGCTCTTGCATGCTTTCCACCACTTTGGGAAGGTACAACACCTTCTTCGAAGTCTTTCAATATATTTTGGCAAACAAAGTGAATAGAAAGCCGACACACATTCTTCACAATTGTGGAAGGTAAAGCATGGTCACCGCTTTCTTCCAACCTGTTCTGTATCAAAACTGAACCCTAAAAAAAACAAAGGGGCACTTTGGCGGCAGGCTCTGCTCAGTGATAGGGGGCATTCACTATAAACTGCGCATGAAAACAAACACTTTTAGATATTTATTGGTCGAATGACAACGCAATTCAACGTCTGACTCAAGTTTTATAGTGCAGGAGTGCCCCTATCACTGAGCAGAGCTTGCCGCCCAAGTGCCCCCTTGCACTGAGCTGATGCGCTCGCAAAAGTTCCCATCCGATCTTTCTCTTCCGTCATTGTGTCAAAGTCCCCCGCGCTCTAAACGGGTGGCTTTGGTCCCATAAATCGTGTGTTTTGGCTCACTTACGTGGTTATAGTGCAGAAATCAGCTTTTGCCCCGTGCAGGACGACCCTGGTTCCTTTCCGACAAACCTGAAATGATCTGACCTGTATTGTTACCTCAAAACATCGAGTGTGTTCAAAACTTCGTTCTTGCCAACAGTGACTCCCAAGACTATTTTTCCTGATGCGACAACAATTCTCAGCACATTCAAGTTCACAGGTTTTTTCTTCCCAAGCTGCCTGGAAGGGCTGCGTTGATGCCACCAGAGGTGGCTACACAAAATGAAAAAATCATACCCAGAAAAGGGATGAAAAGGGTTCACTTCAGTAAGAATGCCCAAGCCTAATAGTCACTGCATGGCCTTTTGGGCATCATCGAAGCCTTGCGGTGTCCGTCAGAGGCGTGTTAAGCTTGTTGCGGGTCCATTCTTTTCAACACCTGCAAAACATTGTCCTATAGTTAAACAAAGTTGGTTCATGACTCCAAGCGGTGGTTTATGATACATATCTATAGGTACTGGGGGTTGTAAACCAACTTAAAAGCGGGGGGCACCATTCTGGCTCTCCTTGACCAACAGGAACGAGATTATGAGATTTCGAATGTCGCCTGAGAGCTTACTTGTTAAATGGGAAACGGTTAACTTGTCGCTCTCAAAACTTTAAGAGTCACATGCAGCATGTCTGCTCCCCCCAAAAACATGCGCCTTTGTGCTTCCAAAGCGCCTTCTCCCAAGGGGCACCAAGTGCTGCGGCCCGAGGTGTCAGTGGCAGTGGCGAGTAGTTGAGCCCAGCGCACCTAGCAATGCCATGGTTTAGTCTTCGTCACCCAAGCTTTCTGTTTCATCAGCTGCCTGCACTCATTCTTCTTCTTCTTCCTTCTTCTTCTTCTTTTCTTCTTCTTCTTCTTCTTCTTCCTTCTTCTTCTTTAAAAGAGATGAGAGCTTTCAGCCACACAAGAGAGGAGATGTTATTGGCATGCGTTTGTTCCGTTAAAACTGGCACACAACAGTCGTGGCCTGCTGTCTCACCTGTCGCGGAGCAATGACAAATCATGGGGTCGCCTGCCGCCATGAAAAGTGGCAAGCCCCCATGGGGCAAGGCAGCCCCACCTTTGATATAGGCTTCGCCTTCGCTGCTTGCTACAAGATGCTTTCAGCGCAAGTAGAAGGCACGGCCCGGCTCAGCGGCCACGTCAACTTGCACGAATTGTGTTTGCCGTGCTTCCCCCACACAGCATGTTTTGGTAGTTACTTGATGCGCGCAGCGCTTTGCATCGATCCCTACCGAATCAAGCTTGCTTTGAGAAGGCAAATTTGAGGGCAGAGCCAAGAGCATTGAAGAGCAGTTGAGGTCGGAAAACATTTTTGATTCTTCACCAATGCCTTGAAAGAAACGAAGGTCTTCACGAAAGTTCCACAACTTGTTTGGGCAAGGCTGTTAGCAACGTTTCCGGGAAGCTGTCCGAGGCATGTCTCCAAAAAAGACAAAGCGCTGCACGAAACCAAAGGTGGTCTGAAAGGTCACGGCCTCTTGACCTTATTTCATGTTGTCCTGCTGTTCCTCCTCATCCTCATCCTCCACCTCCTTCAATGCCTTGTCATTCTTGCCTTGCCTTTGTCGAACAGCACTGCTGCCGCTACCGCTGCCGCTGCCGCTGCCGCCGCCGCCGCCACTGCTGCTGCTGCTGCTGGCTGCTGGCTGCTGCTGGCTGCTGCTGGCTGCTGCTGGCTGCTGCTGGCTGCTGCTGGCTGCTGCTGGCTGCTGCTGGCTGCTGCTGGCTGCTGCTGGCTGCTGCTGCTGCTGCTGCTGCTGCTGCAGCTGCATAGCAAGCTTGCCGGGTCTCGAATATTTATGCGAGCGTGGCAGGTCTCGGGGCTGTCCTGACCAAGATGCGCCACAGACAATGCGAAACGATATCCCAGATGTACAAGTATATGCCAGATGAAAGAAATGCAAACAAAATTTCACAAACAATTGCTCATAGAATGCTAGAATACCAGTCACATAGAACTTGAGCAATTCTTCCCCGACAGCGTAAGCTAATGCGGTTTTCAGCCCATAATAGCTCCGGTGTGCACGGGTCCGAAACCCTGTTGAACCTGACTCTGACTCAGACCTTCTCCGGAACCTTTTCCGGAACCTTCTCCGGAACCCTGTTGAACCTGACCTGGCTCTGCACCAAAGCCTCCCCGACCTGCTCCGGAACCTTCTCTGGAACCTTCTCCGGAACCCTGTTGAACCTGACTTGGCTTTGCACCAAGGCTTCCTGGAACCTTCTCCGGAACCCGGAACCTTTTCCGGAACCGGAACCTTCAACCTTTTCCGGAACCTTCTCCGGAACCTTCTTCGGAACCCTGTTGAACTTAACCTGCCTCTGTACCAAAGCCTCCCAAACTTTCTCCGGGAACCTTCTGCGGAACCTGTTGAACCTGACGTGGCTCTGCACCAAAGCCTCCCAGACCTTCTCCGGAACCTTCTAGCAGGCGCTGGGTCAGGTTCAACGAGGTTCCGGAGAAGGTTCCGAAGGTTCCGCAGAAGGTCTGGGAGGCTTTGGTGCAGAGCCGGGTCAGGTTCAACAGGGCTCCGGACAGGGTTCCGGAGAAGGTTCTAGAGAAGGTCTGGGAGGCTTTGGTGTGGAGGCATATGTCAGGTTCAACAGGTTCAGCAGGGTTTCCAGCGCTTGGCTTCGCAGATTTGTAAAAATAAAACGTTGCGGCTGTTCGGGGATACCACCGAAGCTTATTTGTCAATCAGAAGTTAGATTGAGTGTTTGAATCTACCTAAGACCGCATGCTTGAATCTATACCAATGAAAAGGTCAAAGCATAATTAAAGGAACCAAGGCAGGTACCAAGTCAGAAAAGGCGTCAGAACAAATGACAAACCATATGTCGGAATGTCTGTCAGGATGTATGTGACTGATTGAAATGTCACAGCGGGGATTGTGCGAACAATTGTATTTTTGAGGAGTGCTTCTTTCCAGGCTGCTCTCAACCATTGTATAGACTCTCAAGTTCCTAAGACATGATTTTTCCCCAACAGCGTAAGTTAATGGGGTCTTCAGCCCAGAATAGTTCCGGTGTGCACTGGTGCAGGCGCCGGGTCAGGTTCAAGGAGGTTCCGGAGAAGGTTCCGGAGAAGGTTCCGGAGAAGGTTCCGGAGGCTTTGTTGCAAAGCCAAGTCAGGTTCAACAGGATTCCGGACAAGGTTCTAGAGAAGGTTCCGGAGGAGGTCGGGGAGGCCTTGGTGCAGAGCCAGGTCAGGTTCAACAAGGTTCATTCAACAGGGTTCCGGAGAATGTTCTGGAAGGTCTGGGAGGGTTTGGTGCAGAGCCAGGTCAGGCTCAACAGGGTCCGGAGATTCCGGAGAAGGTCTTGGACACTTTTGCAGCAGAACCAGGTCAGGTTCAACAGGGTTCCGGAAAAGGTTCTGGTGAAGGTCTGGGGCCAGGTCAGGTTCAACAGGGTTCCGGAGAAGGTTCCGGTGAAGGTTCTGGAGAAGGTCCATGGGAGGCTTTGGTGCAGGTCAGGTTCAACAGGGGAGGCTTTGGTGCAGAGCCAGGCCAGGTTCAACAGGGTTCCGAAGTCTGGGAGGCTTTGGTGCAGACCCAGCTGAGGTATGTCCAGCGCTTGGGTTGTAACACGCTTCAGAAAGATTTGTAAAAATAACACGTTAGTTGCGGCTGTTGGGGATACCACCGAAGCTTATTCTAAAATGTGATTTGGGCAACGGCTAAAAGGTTATGGGGGAACTGGAACGTCAGAGTGGCCCGTAAATTTGCCGATTGTTGCCGCGCAGATAATTTGACACCATGCAAGGATTGCTTTCATTGAGAGTGAAGCGAATAATGGGACACAACGTTGCTAATTAGAATCATGTTCACAGAACTTCGGCTTGAACAAATGACGCTATTGAGATATAGGTGAGAGTAAATTGCACATATTCATACATAAGTGAAAGAGCGATCAGCCACCAGCACAATAAGAAAAAAAGTAAACATGAGATACGGCTGCGGCTCATCAGCAATGGATTAAGTTTGATGTGAGCACTTTGCATTGTGTATTCTTTGGTCCTACGACAATATGCATAGATACATGGGTTTAAGTCAACTATGACACCATCAAAAAAAAAAACCTGGTCAGGACCTTGCTGTGTCTGAGAAATTGATCCAGCGTTTGGACCGACATGCTCACATGGTCGAGATTTGTGCATCCGCAGAGCTTCGTTCTTTGAAGTGGCTGCCCGTATCACGTCCAAGCTCTTCCATGAAGGAACTGATGGCTGCAAACGGAGGAGTTTGGCAGCACAATGCCAAACGTTTAGTTGGTCTGGTCAAACCGTTGGTCGATTCGCAGGCGTCTGAGAAATTGCTGAATGCTCTCAGCGTTCCAGGAGACAACTGTGTTGATGATGCTGTTTTGCACCAGCAGTTGGCAGCCTGCATCAGAAGCGAGGGCAACCAGGAGAGCAAGGTACAGATGGTCACTCCAATCTACCAGCGTTTGAAGAGCACTCCGTCAATTGACAAGTGGGTCTGGACCACCTGCGGCTTTCAATCTCTTGTGGATATCTCCAAAGATCCTGAAGTGGAGGGGCTCACCCCATGCCTTCAGCGTTTGAGGGATGAATGGCATTCTCTCCCAATCTTTGAGACTACAAACAAAAAGCTCACGCCTGAAATGCTTTTCCGCTGCTTGGACATGACTGAACAAATGACAGGAGAATCCAAACACAAAGTCCAGTTGGCTGCCATCAACTTGCTCACTCGGCACAAAGCACTTGATGGTTCTGAACCAAAACTAGCTGATTTAGCTGGGAGTTGTGGTGCAGAATTGCGAATCATCAGCAGAGGTGCCAATTTGCTCCCAGTGTCAAGTGTTTTTTTCCATGACATGAAGTGGCAAAGTCAAACTGAGGGTTGCCCAGAAGACATGGAAGAAATCCATGAAGATATCGCTGAGTCTGCTTATGTGCGGTTCGGAGTGCGGAACCTTTCCGAAATTCTGGCTGCGGAGTGTGGCTGTGGAGAGGGAGATTGGCTGGAGATCACAGGACAACATGAGCCCCTCACAAGGAGATTGAAGAACATTCTGAAGGACTACCCTTGGCAAGCTCTTGTGAAGGAGATGCTGCAGAATGCAGAGGATGCTGGGGCCTCAACCTTCAAGGTTCTGATAGACCGTCGGCCCCGTGGCGATCAATCGTTGCTGACTCCTCAGATGGCTGGTTTGCAAGGTCCTTGCCTGTGGTTTTTCAATGACGCGGTATTTGAAGAAAAGGACTTCCGAGCCCTGGTGAGTCTGGGGCAAGGAAGTAAATCCGGCGAGGCAGGCAAGATTGGGAGGCATGGACTTGGCTTCAACGCCATTTTCAATGTCACGGATGTTCCTTCAGTGCTGAGCCGGCAGCAGCGACCTTAGTTTTTGGAGAGTGTAGAGACCCTCCTGGACCCCAAGACTGAACTTGCTTTGTCCTGTAAGTCAAGGCCTAGATTTGGCATCTTTTTCCTGCAATTTCGAATAGTTAATTTTGAGCAACTTACCCAGGTCAGTACCTTGCTTAGGTCTACTTTTCGGCTCGCTTAGGCCTACGTCACAGATACATGATTATATATATATTTGCAATAGACAGACATGAGCACATATGATTATATCTCCTGTACCTCTAGTGATCCCCTCTGTCCCGTGTCCCAGGTCCCACCTGTGCCTCTAGTTGTCCCCACTGTCCCCAGTCCCTCCCTAAAGATAAACCATTAAGGTGTGTAGCCAATAGACCCCAATATGATTTAGGTCATCTCCTGTACCTCTAGTTGTCCCCACTGTCCCCAGTCCGTCCTAAATATAAACCCTAAAGGTGTGAATCCACATCCAAGATTGTCGGCCTAAGTGGTCCAAAAAGTCGTCCTAAGTGATCCTTGGACCAGTTATCCATGCGTCCACGTGTTGAGTTTGTTTTGCCCTGGGTGGGTCTTGGAGTCATTCTGCAAGTTTTGACCTATCCTTGGTTTTTCATGGTCCCTGCTTTGATTTTTGGTCTCAGGTCAATCCTTTTCCTGGACCCCCACGTCGAGCACTTGAAGAAGCTTGGTGCTACCGGTACTCAGCCCGGCATTCGGCTCAACTTTGAAAAGAAGAACATTAAGACTGCATGGCCAGATCAATTTGCCCCGTATGAGATCGAAGGATGCTGTCTCTCCAGTGGGAATTTTGAGGGAACTCTGATCCGCGCTCCCCTTCGGACAGCATCATCAAACAGCCAGATCAAGGCAGAATGTTTTGGGGAGGAAGAGATTGCAAAGATAATCAATCTCATTTGCCAGAGTGGTCATCTTTGGCTTCCTTTTTTGAAAAATGTCAGAAAGATTGAGGTTTTCGACCTACAGGCGGGAGAAACCTTGTGCGTGCATGAGCGAGATTTGAAGCAAGAGCTTATCTACATGTGCGAAGGGCAGATGGAGCAGTCGCTCTTGTCAATCCACAGCAGGTTCCTGGATGGCGCAGTGGACAAATGCAGGACGTATCAGCTTTCCAATCAAGCCGAGGTGAGCGTGGCGCTGCCACTCTGTCCAGAGAGCGGGTCTGAGCCAGGTCGTGTGTTCAGCAGGTTGCCTCTGGAAATGAAGTCCGGCCTGGCAGCTCATGTTTCTGCGTTGTTCTGGACATCTGCAGACAGAAGAACCATTGTGCTTGACCTCCACAAAGACCTAGAAGGGTGGGCAGCACAGAACCACAATCATTTGAAGAACATTGTGATATGCTTGGTAGCCTCAATCGCAACATGTGCGAAAGAGAAGAACCAGACCTTGTTGGATTTCTTTCCGCACTCCGAGAAACCAAGCCCGGTAGCAGAGGTGCTTCATGATCTCTTCTACCATGAAGTGGTGCAGGAATGCCACAAAGGCCCCTCTCAAGTTCTGTTCACAGTTTCCGGAGAAGCTGTGTTAGCATCAGATGGTCGTATTCTGTTGGTGAAGAATGACTCGTGGCCACAGGCACTTAGAGAGCTGCGAGCACCTCTGGTCAAGGTGAGTGAAGATGTCTTTCTGGGCCTTGTGAAGAAGGATTCAAGCATGTTTCGAGAGCTGACCCCGGCAAACTTGAGACAGTGGCTCAAACGTCTTGACCCCTCGCTTGATCATGTTTGCGATGAACAGCTCTTGCAATTTTGTTTGGAAGACAAACCGTCTCCTGCGGATTTGGCAGGATGCCCGCTGATCTTGAAGCTGGATGGTGGAGTGAGTCGCTTTCTTGGACATATAGAGAAGGGTTCACCACGCTTTCTGTGCTGTTCCAGCCCAGAAGAGTGGGAGCTGGCCCAACACTTTCCTCCAAGTTCCGTTGTGAAGTTTGTATCCAGCGAAGCCTTGCAAGCTCATCCGCAAATCCTAAAGATGGATCTTCTCAGTGTCGCGACACTTGGCAGAGAAGCCTGCGGAGAGAACTTCGTTCAGTCTTTCTGGCCGTGGTTCAATCTGTTCACAGCCAGAGACCCTTCTGCAAAGTTTGCAGATCCACCTGTTCCAGAGCATCCTCTTGACTGCCTTCACGTCCTAGAGGCAACAGAGCATGGCCAGCGCAAAATCTTCAAATTGCTTGAACGAAAGAGGGCCTTGAGCTCTTCGTCAGATGTGGCGCAGGAGCTTGAAAATGGCTTGGAGGCTTGCAACGTTTTGCTGGTGTCTTCAACAGCACATGCTGGTGCACATGTTTGTCCGGGGGTGAATCCAGATTCTGTTGCGCGTGCTGTGCACTCTGCAATCCACACGCAAAACTTGCAAAATCCGTTCCATGCAGGAAATACTCCGTTAGGAAGCTGGCGGGCAGTCGCAGGGCAGCTGGCCCTTTCAGAACTGCCCGAAGCAGTCGAAGCCGCTGGATTTTTGCCAGCTTTTCGACTTTGGAGCAGAAGTCAACCAATCCATCCTCAAGTCAAAGAGATGTTTCCTCGCAGTGCCAGCAAAGCTCTTCGTGATGCTCTTCGCGCAGTTCAGCTAGACGTTTTGGACGAAGAAGAGCCGAGGCTGGTGGAGCTTCTGCAGAAAATGGGTGTCAAAGACATGCCTTTGAAGACAACTGCTGATAAGGCTTTGCGTCAAACCAAGGACCTGACCTTGATTGTCCAGCTTGTCAAAGAAGGTTTAGGAGACATTCTCAAAGGACACCAAGTGTTTCCAGCTCCTTCGCAGATTTTGCTGACCCCAGAGGAGTGCTTGCTGTGGGACAAGGAGCTTGATTTTGAAGTGATCCCACGTCGAATGTGCAAAACGGCAGGAGAGCGTTTTCAAGGCTTGGAAGGGAAGCTGCTGGAAATTGGCTGCCGCTGGGAGTTAGATTTGCGAGACGTGCTGGACTTGGCTAGGCAAGCCCAAGACACTCAGGACCTTGCTTTGCCTGAGAAATTGATCCAGCGTTTGGACCGACATGCTCACATGGTCGAGATTTGTGCATCCACAGAGCTTCGTTCTTTGAAGTGGCTGCCCGTATCACGTCCAAACTCTTCCATGAAGGAACTGATGGCTGCAAACGGAAGAGTTTGGCAGCACAATGCCAAACGTTTAGTTGGTCTGGTCAAACCGTTGGTCGATTCGCAGGCGTCTGAGAAATTGCTGAATGCTCTCAGCGTTCCAGGAGACAACTGTGTTGATGATGCTGTTTTGCACCAGCAGTTGGCAGCCTGCATCAGAAGCGAGGGCAACCAGGAGAGCAAGGTACAGATGGTCACTCCAATCTACCAGCGTTTGGAGAGCACTCCAGCAATTGACAAGTGGGTTTGGACCACCTGCGGCTTTCAATCCCTTGTGGATATCTCCAAAGATCCTGAAGTGGAGATGCTCACCCCATGCCTTCAGCGTTTGAGGGATGAGTGGCATTCTCTCCGAATCTTTGAGACTACAAACAAAAAACTCACGCCTGAAATGCTTTTCCGCTGCTTGGACATGACTGAACAAATGACAGGAGAATCCAAGCACAAAGTCCAGTTGGCTGCCATCAACTTGCTCACTCGGCACAAAGCACTTGATGGTTCTGAACCAAAACTAGCTGATTTAGCTGGGAGTTGTGGTACAGAATTGCGAATCATCAGCAGACGTGGCAATTTGCTCCCAGTGTCAAGTGTTTTTTTCCATGACATGAAGTGGCAAAGTCAAACTGAGGGTTGCCCAGAAGACATGGAAGAAATCCATGAAGATATCGCTGAGTCTGCTTATCTGCGGTTCGGAGTGCGGAACCTTTCCGAAATTCTGGCTGCGGAGTGTGGCTGTGGAGAGGGAGACTGGCTGGAGATCACAGGTCAACATGAGCCCCTCACAAGGCGATTGAAGAACATTCTGAAGGACTACCCTTGGCAAGCTCTTGTGAAGGAGATGCTGCAGAATGCAGAGGATGCTGGGGCCTCAACCTTCAAGGTTCTGATAGACCGTCGGCCCCGTGGCGATCAATCGTTGCTGACTCCTCAGATGGCTGGTTTGCAAGGTCCTTGCCTTCGGTTTTACAATGACGCGGTATTTGAAGAAAAGGATTTCCGAGCCCTGGTGAGTCTGGGGCAAGGAAGCAAGGTGTCTTGGCTCTTAAGTTTTTTTGATTGTTTTCCTGAAGAGATTCCAAATAGAAGGGTCATCCGCAGAAGTTGGCCCTAAGCTGCAAGACAAATGAGTCCGCCTAGGCAATGGAAAAGGGGAAGATTGGACGTCATGGTCTTGGCTTCAATTCTATCTTCAACATTACGGATTTGCCCTCCATTCTGAGTGGCGAGTTGCTTGTACAAAGATCAGTTGGGCAATGCTGGGCACCAGTGAAAAGCACCCTATGGTTGTTTCCGTTGTTTCGAGTGTTTCCAGGAATGGTCCGGAATGGTCCACATGGCATTGTATTGATACTGCCACTGAGTAGGGTGTTCTCATTTTGAATGACTCGAGTTTGTTTTGTTTTTCGAACCCAGTTGAAACTAGTGGGTTTTGTGCTGAGCTCGTAGGGATCTTAGAATCAGCACATGCGCGCATTCCCATTGATCCCAAGCATTCATCGCACTTGATGTCAGCCATCACAAGGCATCTTTAAAATCCTTGGAGATCAGTATGATCAGTTTCAGAGTCCATCAGTGAGGTTCCTACAGTTTGCTGCAGTTGTTCCCCTTCTCTGACCCAGCAACTGTTGACATGGTGGAGGTTTATCCTCTTCCTGGATCCCCATGTGACGCATCTGCAGAAGCTGGGGGCCAATGCCTCAAAACCTGGCGTCAAGTTGAACTTTGCCAAGAAGGTAGGCCTCCAAAAGGATGGAAAACTGAGGATTTGCTGGGAAAGAACCAGGAACTGAAGGGTAAACATCTGTAAAAATCTGTAAAAAATGATGGATGTTGTATGGCAGTGACTGCAATACTGATTGATGGTCTACTCCGACTCAGATGGTATCCTTTGTGCTGATGCCGTTGTGTTTGAACGAAGGAACATATTGAACCAGAAGATCATGATTTTGTTGAGCACCTCTACCGGCCTCAGAAACAGCAAGTATTCTTGGCATGGAAAGAAGATTTGTTGTGAAGGAGCCATGTCTCCCAAGCTCTTGCATCGCTCCAGCCGTTCGATTCGGAGCTGGTGTTGCGCCAGGATGTGAAGAGCTGCTGGCCAGACCAGTTCACCTCTTACGAGTTGGAAGGCGGGGGTGCAGTGCTACATGTGCTGCTGGTACATATTGTGGATTTGTTTGGAATATGTAGATAAAAAATCGATTGAATATCGCGGATCATGTATATATACTTGTCTGCACATACATGTGTAATCAAGTAATCAAGGATATGTATGTATATGTATGAAGAATATCAGTCGAATGTACGCACGCACACACACACACTAGACAAGAATGGATCATTATATGATCCGGCAGGAACTGAATCCTGAAACATGCAGATTAGAGTTCTACGTCCTTGCTGTGGCAACCGTGAAGAAATAAAATTGACTTGGAGGTTCTTGGGTTGAGCCTCTTCCCATCACCAGACATTGACAATTGAATGGAAGCAAACCCTGAACAACAGGTAGTCACAACAATGCAGGTACACCAGGGTGATCAGCCCCGGCTTCCACCATCATGCATAGCTTCGTTGGCATGCGTTTGCATGATGGCCGCATGCCCCTTGCGTTATTTAGAAGGGGAGAGGACGGAAGGAAGAAAAAGAGAGAAGCTTTACATCTGTTTAGATGTTACACACACACACACCCGGCCAGAGCCGGGTCAACCCTGAAAGGCAAGAGGAAGAAAAAAGCGGACACACGACGGGCAGACGGCCAAAAACAGCGCAGGGGGGGAGGGGAACAGACGGACCTCCGGAACCAACCTACACGGCGAAACGGACCTGACCAAAACAGCGCACACACCTAAACCCCACGACACATTACGGAGAGGCACGCGGGGAAAATTAGGGACCAAATGGGGGACTAGTTGGTGACAGACAAGGAAACCAAAACAATTAGTTAAACAACAGGATTCAGTTCCTAAACCTAAAGGTCGTGCGATTGTGCCACAACAGGCCCGTGTTCAAGTCAGCCACAAGGGCATAAAACGGCTTTCAAGTTCCAACGAATTAGGTGCACGATATGTTTCACCTCACCAGACAACCATCAAAAGAAAGAATACCACACCTGCAAGACGTGTGCCTGCCTGATTCATATGTCGTGACGTGATGCAATGGCGCTGCAAAGTTGCTGCAAAAAACGGAGGTTTCAGGCAGTTCAGAGCAGTTTCACTTGAAAGAGCGCAGATCACTGGGATCCCTGGGACATCCGGAGCAGCAGGAGATTTCAAAATGGCTGAAAAACCGTAAGGCAAGCTGTTGCACTGTACTTAAATGAATTACTGGATTAAAATGTGTAAATTCGGAAGTCAAGTCAGTCAACATTGACCCCAACTGGGGTTGCCTCAAATGGCCCTATGGCACCATGTCGGAGTCACCATAGGAATCACACTAGACAAGAATGGATCATTATATGATCCGGCAGGAACTGAATCCTGAAACATGCAGATTAGAGTTCTACGTCCTTGCTGTGGCAACCGTGAAGAAATAAAATTGACTTGGAGGTTCTTGGGTTGAGCCTCTTCCCATCACCAGACATTGACAATTGAATGGAAGCAAACCCTGAACAACAGGTAATCACAACAATGCAGGTACACCAGGGTGATCAGCCCCGGCTTCCACCATCATGCATAGCTTCGTTGGCATGCGTTTGCATGATGGCCGCATGCCCCTTGCGTTATTTAGAAGGGGAGAGGACAGAAGGAAGAAAAAGAGAGAAGTTTTACATCTGTTTAGATGTTACACACACACACACACCCACGCACGCACGCACGCACGCACGCACGCACACACACACACATCTATCTCTCGACAGCCAACTTCCAAGGCTGCCGCCTCTCGGATCGCAACTTCCAAGGGACGCTGATCCGTGCGCCCTTGCGGCGCCAGCAGAGTGACATCAGCAGCCAATGCTTTGGAACTGAGGATGTCCGAAAGTTGGTGGGCTGGATAGAAGCAGATGGCCATGATTGGCTGCTCTTTTTACGAAAAGTGGCGAAACTTGAAGTCATTGACCTGTGCAGCAATGAGGCCTGGATCTTTTTTGCAGTTGCACATTTGATGCTTTTAGCCAATGTCTGGTAAAGTTTCAAACTTGATTTGAGGCCTTAGTACAAAGAATTCTTGATCTGAGAGAGAGAGAGAGAGCTGCCAAACCAGGTGCTGGTATCTCACAGTAGATATGATTCTCCAGAGGAAGCAACCATCTCAACCAGGGACATGTCTGACCGCATGATGACGCGCAAGTATGATGTGAATCACCACGGAGAGATCTCAGTTGCACTGCCGCAGGCAGTGTGTGGGATGCAACGAATGGTAGTGAATTGGAAATAGAGTCCCTGTAGCTGCAGTGACCAGAAGCGAACATTTTGGAATTCTTTGTGAAGTTTCAGCACAGTATAACTATCATACTCCCAGGATTGTCTTATGAATAATTCGAAGTTTCATGTTTCGACCGCAAGCCACACGTCTATCCCTATAGGCACCTGAAAAATCCTTCTTGGGTCGAATCTTCAGCCGACTTCCGTTGGAAGTGTCTTCGGGTATACCTGCTCACCTTTCAGCACTTTTCTGGACCAGCACAGACCGGAGAACTTTGGTGGTGGATGCCGACAAAGATCAAGGACATTGGGCTGCTGAGAACCGATCCTTATTGCAGAAGGCGGTGAAATGCCTCGTCTCCTTGTTGGCCAAAAAGGCTGCAGCTCAGAAGTCAGTGCCATTGAGCTACTTTCCTTCTGAAACCAAACCGAGCCAGGCGGCAAAGCTTTTGCATGAACTCTTTTATCAAGAGCTTGCGCAGAGAATCAAGACGTCAGACAGTGAGCAGGTGCTGTTTACCGTCGCTGGAAAGCCAGCATACCTTCCCTTGGTCCTCTTGAGCCCGCAGCAAAATCTACCATCAGCTTTGCAGAAGCTCCAGGCTCCAGTGGTGGTCGTCAGCGAGGTCGTGATGCAAGGCTTGCAAGGTGCAGATCCATCCATCTTTCAGCGGCTGAGCCCGGCATCCCTCAGGTGGGCGAATGCGCCACATTGGCAAAGGTTCTAATATGTTCTAAGCCTTTTTGGGCGGAGTCAGATGACAGTGCTAGTTTGCAGACTGTGACCCACGAATGACTGCTATTTGGTCAATCCCAAGCCTTCTTGTCTTCCATTCACCCGTCAGGTCATGGTTGCGACAGTTGCCGGTTGAACTTCACCAGTTTTGTGACTCGGAAACCTTGATCTTCGCACTACGGGATGGAGCACGCACGACGGAGAGAAGTAAGAGAGCTGAAGATTTGGACGGATGCCCATTGGCGCTGACTGTAGATGGGAAGGTGATCCAGGGCTGAAAGAAAACCGTCCAAAGGTTTGCCAAACTAGACGATGGTTGGCCTGAGAGCGAGTAGGTGTATAGGTACTCAGATGTGTTAATGATTGCTGACCCCAAAGACTTACATGAATATGTTCATGATAATGTTATTTGAGATCATGTGAATATGTTCATTATGTGTAGATGTCAAGATAAGAATATGTGAAGATGTCACGGTTTTAGTTGCAAGAGAAGATATGCTAATAGGCTCTCAAACACAGACACATGCAGAGAAACATGTTTACACATATATACACCCAGGCACGCACACACACAAACAGACACACGCAAACCCACACACACAGAAACTTTTACATACAGAAGCTTTTACACACAGACGCTTTTACACACAGAAGCTTTTACACACAGAAGCTTTTACACACAGAAGCTTTTACACACACACAAACACTTTTACACACAGAAGCATTTACACTTTATACACAGACACTTTTACACACAGACGCTTTTACACACCCATGCTTTTACACACAGAAGCTTTTACACACAGAACCTTTTACACACAGACGCTTCTACACACAGACACTTTTACGCACAGAAGCTTTTACGCACAGACACTTTTACACACAGAACCTTTACAAACCGACGCTTCTACACAGAAGCTTTTACACACAGAACCTTTTACACACAGAACCTTTACACACGGACGCTTCTACACACACAACCTTTTGCACACAGAAGCTTTTACGCACAGACACTTTTTCGCACAGACGCTTTTACACACAGAAGCTTTTACAGTTTACACATAGAAGCTTTTACACACAGACGCTCTTTACACACAGACGCCAGTTTTTGACGATCAGACCTCAGTTCGTGTGAAAGGGTTGCCGCGGAAAGCTCAAATCAGAATTTTACCCCAGTTTTTGACGATCGAACCTTATTTCGTGCGAGAGGGTTACCGCCGAGGATGTTAAATCGCACTGTTACTTACGTTTTTGACGATCGCACCTCATTTCGTGCGAAAGGGTGGCCATTTCGTGGCGCCTCGTCGGCACTGCCCGCGGACTTAAGAGAGAAAAGAAAAAGAAGGGGAGAGAGGCCGTGACAGAGGGCAAGAGTGAGAGAGAGAGAGAGAGAGAGAGGGAGGGAGGGAGGGAGGGAGGGAGAGAAAGAAGATGTGAAGACGTGAGGATAATATGTGTAGATGTGAAGATGTGAAGATGATATGTGTAGACGTGCAGATGAGAAGATGTGCAGATGTGAAGATGATGTGTAGATGTGAAGATTTGAAGATGATATGTGTAGATGTGAAGATGTATAGATGTGAAAATGTATAACAGACCCCCACTATTAGAAGAACCTTCGCTCAGACGCTCTCCGGAAAAATCTTGGCACTCCAATTGCAACACCTCAACAAGATCCATGTTTGAGATATTTTGAGATAAAACCCAACAAGTTTTCATGCATTTCTAAATGGCCGGATTCTCCATTTGTTTTCAGAGCATGGAGTCCCAAACATCCTGATTTTTTTTCAAGGTGAGGTGCTTTTCATCGACTGCCGAAGTTCGCTTCGTTTGTTGCAAAAACGGTGATGACTGGGATGTTGCTCGCCACTTTCCTGCGGAGCTGGTGCTGAAGTATGTGCCCTCAGTGAGTGAAGTGCTCTTGGACCATCCTCAGGTCCGACCGGTGGACCGGAGAGCAGTGGCTGAGGTCGGTGCTGCTGCTGTTGGGACCGATTGGGCCACATCCTTCTGGACTCGGTATCGAAGGTACTGTGGAGACCTGAAACTGGGCCCTGAGGACCATTTCTTTGATGACTTGGAGGTCCTATGGCACCAAGAAGCTGATGGATCCGTGACGTTGAAACCTCTGCGGGAGCGGAGGTGGGCACTTCATTGCGAAGATTTGGATGCTCCGGTGGTGGACTGCCTCAGGGCTTGCAACGTCTTGCTGGTGTTGAATTGTGAGCGCCCTCCAGTTGACAATCCTGATGCGCTGGCTCGTGCCTTGTCCTCAGCATGGAAGAATCATGGTGAATGCATCAACACAGAAACCAGGTTCCTGGATGAAGGGTGGCGTGATCTGCTGGAGATCCTGATCAAATCTAGATTGCCAGAAGCCTCTGAAATGGCAAGCGTTCTACCCCTTTTCAGAAACTGGCAGCAGATTCTGGTCACACCTGACCTGCAGCTTTTTCCAGTGAGGGTCAGCTCAGCCTTTCGAACCGCTGTGATGCCTCTTTCTTTGGACCTTTTGTCAGAAATGGATGGCGGCATCGTCCAATTCCTTTTCCGCCTGGGCGTCACGGAAGCCTCAGCTGTGTTTGAGTAGAGGTCAGGTTGTAAACATCAAGAACTCAAAACCCAGCAGAAGGGTAGTATATCAGTGCGCAAGCAAGTCACAAGATTCTCAATGAATGGGATTGTAGTACAGATAAAGAATCGGAATCTGAGCCCCCAGTCGTTGAATCAAGACAAGAAATACTTCCAGCCAAGGTCACCTGGCTTTGGCAACCAATGTGCGTCCCAGAATTGGAGGGAAAATGTACAGCATCACCCTGCATTTTGATGGAAACAATATGAACAACTGTCCTACTGTAATTTACTGTAGTTTCTTTTTCTACTTCAACTTCAAATCCGGCTGTGGGTTGCGCGATGGAGATTGGGCTCGCAGTGAGGAAATGGAGCCCGAAGAAGTGGCTCGCTTGGCACTTTGCCAAGAGACCTCAGTGACCTTCCTGGCCCATGTCTTGCGGGAGAACCTGGGGGAGGTACTGCGAGAGATGCCCGTGTTCCCCGTGATGAAGGGATGTTTGCACCTTGGATGGGTTCAATCCAGACTTGGGTTTGGCCAAAAATGTTACTTTTACCATAGGATTCAGAGGTAGCGTATTTTCAATTGAACCCATTTTCAGAAACCCATGAACTTTGAATCCTCACAACATGATTATATATATATATACACATATATATATATGGAATTTGTTGACTTGCAAGCCTCAAACAAGTGGAGTGGAGAGGTGTTCACGGAATTAGTCACCACATATTGGGTCGAATTCAAGAGCCAGCTACCCACTGATCTAGATGATTCTTAGTATCAGCCTTGAATTTGTTCGGGTGCTATCCCAATGTCCCAATGTTTGTTGCTTGAATACTCGCTTTGCTTCGGTGCCATCCACGTGTTGGTGGGTAAACCATGGTAAACCTAAATCTTATTTCTTAAAGTGACAAATTTCCATCTGTCAGCTGGGTTGGTGCACCAGGCCCTTGGATCAGTGTCTACTGTGGGACGCAGAGCCGGACTTCGAGTTCCTCGAGAGGTCAGCAGAGATTTTGAGAAGCGGCTTCTGATGGCTACCACACAACCTGACATTTTAACTCATGAAAAATAGAACAGATTTCGGATGCGGAAAACCGAAAAAGCACTTGGGGATGGTAGCAAAAACGGGGATGTGGAAATGCTCATCCATTGAGTCCTAGAGCTAGTCCAAAAAGGCCTCAGCATCCTGAGGCTCCTGCGGTCTTCTCCCCACTCGGGTTTGTTTGAGCATTGAGGGAAAGCCCCAAAATTCCGAGGCTAAGGCTTAATTACGAAAGCCAGCCGGAGAAGCTGGCTTGTTGTTGTTTGCGAACGTAGTGAGCGATTAGGGGGCCCCGTGGTCCGTGATTGTTGAATATTGGGGGTAGCCGGGTAGACAAAGAGAGCAGATTGTGCTTAGTTCGACCAAGAACGGCGTTTTCTTTTTGGGGCATGTTATGCCCAGAAGGAACTCGCCGTTTTTAGGTTATCTGGGAACCGTATTGCGCCTAGACGGGACGTATGTATGGACAGAGAGATAAGCTTGGAGACGTCAATAGGTTTACAAATAGATGGAGAAGAGAAAAATAGATTAAGTTTACAGAAAGATGGAGAGCAGAAAAATAGATAGAATAGATAGACAGACGGATAGAGGAGAAGCAGACAAATATAGATTATTTGTGGACCGAGAGACAAGCCACTGAGATAGATCGATAGATGGATAGATAGATAGATAGATAGATAGGTCGATCGAACGATAGATCGATAGTTCGATATATGGATAGAGAGATAGATAGATCGATGGATAGATAGACAGATGGATAGATAGACAGATAGACAGATAGACAGATAGATTCAGATGGATTCTGATTCATTCAGATAGATTCAGATAGATTCAGATAGATTTAGATTTAAATAGATAGATACATAGTTTACTTAAGGGATGCATGAAGAGATCGAGAGACAGAAGCACCACATGATAGTGTGAATTGTTGGCAGCGAGCTTCGCATAGCCACGTAGATGCAGAGATGGGGGCATGGAGAAAGAGAGCAAGAGAGAGAGAGAGAGAGAGAGAGAGAGAGCGCGAGAGAGAGAGAGAGAGAGGGGGAGCGCGAGAGAGAGAGAGAGAGAGAGAGAGAGAGAGGGAGAGAGAGAGAGAGAGAGAGAGAGAGAGGGAGAGAGAGGAGAGAGCGGGAGAGAGCGGGAGAGAGCGGGAGAGAGCGGGAGAGAGCGGGAGAGAGCGAGAGAGAGAGAGGAGATAGAGAGAGAGAGAGGAGAGAGAGAGAGAGAGATATCAGAGTCGTATCAGCTATATAGAGCATATAGATCAGATATATAGATATAGTATAGAGAGAGTTATGATGCATGGATGGCTTGACGCAATGCTGGACAGATAGGTTGATAGATAGATAGCTAGATGGCTGCAGGTCATGGAAGCGTTGTCTGGCTGGATGACATGGGTGGATGGATGGACGGATAGATTGCGCATAGCTACATAGATGCAGAGATGGGGACATGGAGAAAGAAAGAGAGAGCAAGAAAGAGAAAGAGAGAGAGAGAGAGAGTGAAAGTTAGGTTGATGCATGGATGGCTTGAAGGCTGGACAGATAGGTTGCTAGATAGATAGCTAAATTGCTACAGTGCGGCTACAGGTCATGGAAGCTTTGTCAGCTGCAGGCTGTAATGACAACCTGACATACAGCTATGCCTGTGCTTAAAGTAGATCGTCACGTCATCTCCTTTGGCTACAAGCGGATGACAGCTAGCGCACTGGATGTGAGATGGAGACATGGACCAGTGGATAGAGTGAGAGACAGATAGGTAGACTGGAAGGCAGACGGATTGCTATAGACTGAGAAATTCTTCTGATGTATTTTCTGGCTTACTGGTTGCACGCATAGTGACAGTAGTCAGCAGCGCTAGCACACCTTGTCGTTGTGACTACCCCCGTTGCCATGCTGCACGTGGCCGTGCCACCTGAGAGGCTCGGTGCCACCTGCATATATGGAGCCTATGTTCAGCCTATGTTGATCCATGTTGGGCTCTTGGAGGCTATGTTGGACCCATATTCGGGCAATGTTGAGCTTATGTTAGGCCAAAAACGGCATGTTCCTTTTAAGCCTTTACCCGGCCCAAAAGGAACATGTCGTTTTTGGATCATGTCGGGACCATGTTGGGCGTATACCCAGCCTATGTTGGGCCTATGTTGATCCATGTTAGGCTCTTGGAGGCTTTGTCCGGGTATATTCAAGCCGAGCCATGTTGAGCTTAGGTTAAGCCAAAAACGGCGTGTTCCTGTTAAGCCTTTACCCGACCCAAAAGGAATACGCCGTTTGTGGATCATGTCGGGACCATTGTTGGGCGTATATGGAGCCTATGTTGGGCCTATCTTGATCCATGTTAGGCTCTTGGAGGCTATGTTGGACACATATTCGGCCCATGTTGAGCTTATGTTAAGCCAAAAACGGCATGTTCCTTTTAAGCCTTTGCCCGGCCCAGAAGGAACACGTCGTTTTTGAATCATGTCGGGACCATGTTGGGCGTATACCGAGCCTATGTTGGGCCTATGTTGATCCTTGATAGGCTCTTGGAGGCTTTGCCCGGGTATATTCAAGCCGAGCCATGCTGAGCTTATGTTAAGCCAAGAACGGCGTGTTCCTTAGTGCTCCAATTTTGAAGGTGTTGCCCGCTAGAAGTTTGCTGCGGTAGGGTATCGATTCCCCCTCGGTCTGGGTTTTCCTAGGCGAGCTAAGTAGCCAGTCAGAAAAAACGATAGAGTGAGACATGTTGCTTAAAAGACTAGAGATACAAGGGAGGCCCCAACTCCGTCTCCAAAAATCATATCAGTTTCAGGTGCCCAGAAACGAACCCAAAACTAGCCCCTTGTACCTGCTTGTCATGATCATGACAATATTTCCCTTTCTCGTATGTTGATGAAAGAATCCAAAGTCTGCAAGAGGCGCTTCGAGGCTCGGACTCGAAACTATATAATACTATTGTTGAAGTCCCAGCAAGGCTGAACTTGAAGTAGTTGGTAACTGTGCTGCCTCGTTAGAATTTTAGGCCGCAGCTGGCGCAAAGGGACGGCCTCAAGGCAAGCCTCGAGGCCTCAAGGTTATGGAAATTGCAGCAAAACAAAAAATTTATAGGATGAAACAAAGCTGGAGCCAGGCCTCAATGCAAGTCTCGAACTCCAGTGTCGCGAGACCATGGAAATTAGAACAAAACACCTCGGGGCAGGCTTCGAGGCAGGCCTCGAGGGCCTCAAGGACAAAGAAGGGGCCCGTTTTTGGTCCTCAAAACGTAAGAAAAAGCAGGCGCGCAAAAATGGGCCTCCCCAGTTCAAGATTCCAGCCGCAGCTGTTGCTGGTCAAATCAGCTTCAACTTGAAATAAACGCTTCAACAGATTTGCCGCAATGAAGGTGCCAAAAAAGGGACCAAAACTAGACCCTCCAGGGGTGACCACTTTTGATTTCAAGGGGTTCCACTTTCTGCCCCTTTTTGAAACACGTTTCCTTCGCACGGGGGTCCAAAACTGGACCCTCAACAGGTTGAATCCGGTGCCTCCTTGGAGTTCCGGTTTTAAGCCCACCCAAGCACCGTCTTCAGCTGCGCTGTTCCAATGTAGAAACGCATCAACGGTGCACAAACCAACACCGAGTTGGCAATAAGGGCCTCGAACAGTACGTAGCTGACCAAAGGCAGTCGTGATGCTTACGGATTTGCTCCAACAGAGGAACTCCCATTTTGAAGGTGTTGTGCGTATCGATTCCCCTCACTCCGGTTTCTCGCCAGTTAAACAAATAGAATAGATGGAGAAAAATGTATTGCTCGAGGGACTGAGGACACCTAAACCACCAGCAAAGTTTCAAAATGTCTGCCTCAAAACTTTCTGTGGGGTTAGGGCTACGCGACAACTGGAGCATTTCAATGTCTTACACGCAGGCAATTTGCTGTGTGCAGGGGTTTTCATTGTGAGAGCTGGCTTTCGTTCCCCCTTTCTCATGTTTCTAGCATGAGTTAGTTATACGTAGAGTCTTAAAATCAATTATTCCTACTAAATAGCCTTTTTTAAAATTTTTATACAAGTTGTAACCCGTTTTCAGACACACCCACTGGCTGTCCCCACGGAGGCGTCTGTCTCGCGAAGCCCAAGAGGCTTTCCAGGAGCACAGTGTGAAACTTAAGTCGCTGGGTTGCCGCGACTGTTTGGATGCAACCGATGCGGAGGAAATTGCCCGGATGGTGGTGCTGAAACAGGACCACCAGCTGTCCAAGAAATTCCTGAAGAGGTTAACCACCTTGGAAGATCTTTGTCAAAGCTCCGCGCTAGCAGAACTTCCATGGCTGTTAGCCAATGATTTGACACAAGGCCCGGCAGGGCTGGTGGCACCACAGTCAGCTTGGCATGCGGAGGTGAAGCACTTGGTGGGGTGGGTGAGGCCCATTGCAGAAGGGCCCAAAAGCACCTTGAAGCTGCTGCGGGTGAAGGCTGAACATGACCTCGATGACAACGTCTTGACGGAACAGCGACTTGGCTGCTGAAGTTGGCAGCTGTTGGGATGAAACATGGATGTGCCTTCACACCGGATTCCAGGGAAATTCGAAGATGGTAGAAAGATGTAGAAAGGCATTTTAATGGTAGAAGGACATTTTGATTGTATATTTATTTATACTTGTTATATTGATGTCGCATTCTCTCATGATATATTTAGCATTCTTATCATATCATATCATATCATATCATGTCATATCATATCATATATATCATATCATATCGTATCATATCATACCAGTAGTACCGCACAAGGCGGTGGCGGAAGTTTCAAAAATAGGAAACCTATAGGAGAAGTTGGTTGTTGTGAATCAGGGATGGCGGAGCGAAGCTGCTGATGGACTGAAAGGTGCTTGATCTCTCTCACTCTTTCTCTCTCTTTCTCTGACTATCTACCTACCTACCTATCTATTTTCTATGCATCTATCATCTATCTATCGATCTATCTATCCATCTCTCTCTCTCTCTTTCATCTAATTGCCTATCTATCTACCTATCTATCTGTCTACCTATCTATCTATCTACCTATCTATCTATATATCTACCTATCTATCTATCTATCTGTCTATCTGTCTATCTATCTATCTATCTACCTATCTATCTATCTATCTACCTATCTATCTATCTATCCTATCCTATCCTATCCTATCCTATCCTATCCTATCCTATCCTATCCTATCCATCTATTTATCTATCTATCTATCTAATCTAATCTAATCTAATCTAATCTTATCTAGTCTTATCTTATCTTATCTTATCTTATCTTATCTTACTATCTATCTATCTATCTATCTATCTATCTATCTTATCTATCTTATCTATCTTATCTATTTTATCTATCTGTCTATCTAACATTTTGACTTCGAAATGTGCTTCGCGCCACCAAGGCGTGCACTTTTTCGACATCTGAACCTCCAAAAGTGGTCCGAACCCCTGGTGTTTTTAACATTTTGACTTCGAAATGTGCTCCGCGCCACAACGGTGTGCACTTTTTCGACATCTCAACTTCCAAAAGTGGTCCGAACGTGGTGTGTTTTGTACATTTTGACTTCGAAATGTGCTTCGCGCCACAACGGCGTGCACTTTTTCGACATCTGAACCTCCAAAAGTGGTCCGAACCCCTGGTGTTTTTAACATTTTGACTTCGAAATGTGCTTCGCGCCACAACGGCATGCACTTTTTCGACATCTGAACCTCCAAAAGTGGTCCGAACCCCTTGTGTTTTTAACATTTTGACTTCGAAATGTGCTTCGCGCCACAACGGCGTGCACTTTTTCGACATCTGAACATCCAAAAGTGGTCCGAACCCCTGGTGTTTTTAACATTTTGACTTCGAAATGTGCTTCGCGCCACAACGGCATGCACTTTTTCGACATCTGAACCTCCAAAAGTGGTCCGAACCCCTTGTGTTTTTAACATTTTGACTTCGAAATGTGCTTCGCGCCACAACGGCGTGCACTTTTTCGACATCTGAACCTCCAAAAGTGGTCCGACCTGGTGTGTTTTGTACATTTTGACTTCGAAATGTGCTTCGCGCCACAACGGCGTGCACTTTTTCGACATCTCAACTTCCAAAAGTGGTCCGAACGTGGTGTGTTTTGTACATTTTGACTTCGAAATGTGCTTCGCGCCACAACGGCGTGCACTTTTTCGACATCTCAACTGCCAAAAGTGGTCCGAACCCCTGGTGTTTTTAACATTTTGACTTCGAAACGCGCTTCGCGCCACAACGGCGTGCAATTTTTCATCTCTCATCTGGCCAGATGGCTCTGCACCCGCCGCTTTAGCGAGCCTACTTTTCGACCCTCCGCAGCCACACATCATTGGAAAAACACAGTCAATCGCGACTTTCCTACCTTTTCGCGCATCTGCATCTTCTTTCTTCTGACTCTTTCTCTTCTCTGACCTTCTCTCTTCTACTCTTCTCTTCTCTGTGACTCTTCCCATCTCTACTTTTCATCTGTCCGCACTGTCGGAAGTTTGACTTTTAAACTTCCTTCGATCATATCATATCATATCATATCACATCACATCAGATCATATCATATCATATCATATCATATCATGATGTGATGTTGCCAAACTCTGGTGATTTCCTTTCGTCTCCAGGCTGCACGCTTTGATGACACGAGCGAGTTCAACGAGTTCCCGCGTGGACATGGCCGACTGTCAGCCGATCTACAGGCTTTGCCGTGGCCAGTTTCCTTCTCGACGGATAGATTTATGACAGAAACCGATGGAAAAACTGGGATGATTTGGGATGGGTTAAGATGGTTAAGTCAGTTGCTCCCATATTTGGATGGTTGGTACCAAACTGGAGCAACATTTGTGCATTTCTAACCCTTGAATTGGAAGTTGAATTTGACCCATACCAATACCAATGTTTGACCTGATGTCATCCCAGATTTCCTCTCTTGTTCACTGAAAAAAAACTGTTGACCGGGAGGCGCCTGTCTCAAGCACCTGCCTCTGGATCGTGGATTTGGACTGAGCATGGCTTTGCAACGTTCGAGGATGTGTTCAAAGACAAGAGGGCCAACGCCTTGCAACCGTTTTTGCATACCCTGCAGAATGATTGGGTAGACTACAAGATCTTCACACACATTCAGAAGCAGCTGGGAATCCCAAAGCTCTTGCAAGTGCTGTCGACCTTGAAAACCATGCAGCAACCAGGGGAGGAACTGCCATCATCCATTGCGGGTACCATGTGGCAAACCTTTTCGCAGTGGATGAGTGCAGATACTCGCGCGAATCAGCAGCAGCGCTTGGAAGTTGCTTGCTTTGCCTTGAGGTATTTGCATCACGAGGTGGGGCTTTGGATCCCAGCGAATCCTTCCATCCCCGAGATTGAATACCGCCCAGAAAAGGGAACGCACATGCATAGATCCAGCACTATAAAACAGTTCTAGACCAGGGTTTGACTTGGAAGGCATCTAAATTGGCTAATCTTAGTTGAAGCGGGATAACTTCCTTTCAAAAAGGGCACGGCTGGGTGGAACCGATTCCAAACAGGTGCGGGATGGCATGGCGGAGTTTCTCCAGCAGCATGGGCAACGCGTTTGGATCCCGGCATTCAATGGGGTCTTGCACATGGCCAAGCAGTTGCTTGGCGCAAGGCATGACTCAAACCACCCAAATTTCACCACAAATGGACAATGAAATTTCGACCATCCCCAAATGGTAGGCTTAATGGCAGGAAGTTTACCACATTAACACTTGGATCCCCTTTGAGAAACCCAAAAAAGATGCGAGGCTGAAAGCTTCGCTGAGGTTGTTCGTGCACGACATGCCCTGGGCCCTGGATCAATCGCCAGATGGCTTCCATCGCGTGCACCGAGACGTACCCGAAGGCATCAGGATTTTCTGTGTTTGCCAAGGATCAGGGATGGAGGTGTCGCAAAAAATCCAGAGACTCAGGACCCGAATGGACTTTTCGGAAGTTTTTTCAAGCGATTCATGGTTGTCAAAGTTTCGGGCTCACGAAGTTTTGGTCAAAGGATGCACCACAAGTGATAAAAACTTGTTGTGGAGGGCTCATCATCTCAGTTTGGCCCTATCACTGCGGGCCAGCACTTATTGAGATTAATCATTCTACTATAACTACTATATAAACAAAACTCTTCAGCTGATGTGATCCCAAGCTAGCAACTTTTGTGTTTAATATTCCAAATGTTGACATTTTCACCCTGGATTTCTTCAGGTCACGCTCGCGATTTTGGGGTGGAGCCAAGCAGTGTCTTGTTGCTGCGCGTCCTGAAGAAGGATCCAGTTGGACTGGAGAGGGATCCTGCCGGGGCCACTTGTCCGAGAAGTGGCGGTGAAATTTACCACTTGATATATATATATATATATGATGATATATATATATATATGATGTGAGATGTTTTGAGTTGGGTTTGAAGATCGTTCAAGATGGTTCAAGCATTAGTAATGGGACCACAAGCAGCGTCCGAATGGTTTTCCGTGGATGCAACTGGCGGTCCGACTGCGAGGGGATGGGAACATCCTCTTGGCTCAGCAGGGGAAAATGGAATTCCTGTGATTCTGGAGGATCAAGACGAAGGGCATATTTCCATAGTAGGTGATGCATGATGTTCATATCACATATCCCATTCCTAGTGGTATATGCAACTATAATATAATTCCATTTAATTCTTACAGAATTCCATAGTATAGAAAGATTTCCTAGTAATGATAGGATGACCATACCCCATTGATCCCCATTGATTGACCATGGCACATCGAACAAAACGTCACAGCCCGTCACGGCTCGTCACGGCTCAGGATCGAGATGCCCAACTTCTCAGAAGTTTCCGCAGCGCGCACCAGCAAAATCCGGAGAAATCCTTGGCAGCCGTGTCGCTGGCCTGCAGGAGAGTCGCTCAAGGATGGAGCTGGAAACCAACTTTTAGGTGATTTCGGACTATTTGGGTTGTTTCGAAGTGCAAAAGGAGTCTCCCCCCATATTGGAGGAAGGTACTTGCTATGGCAGATGGTGGCTATCCATGGACTGTTGCTTTTCGTCACCGAGATGATCAAAACCAAATCGCGTGGGCAACAGGCTCCGTTGACACTGAGTCAACCCTTCAGACCGCTCAACTTTCTTGAGCCCAGAAATGCATCAAGGAATTTATCCAATGTGTTTTCCAACCCTTCGTATTTGTAACTTCACCTGGTACTTGATTTCACCAAAATAGCTGGTTGTTGTAGATGTCATCCCCCATTCAGATGGTCCCTTATAGCCGATCCCCCCCTAAAAATGGATGTTTCAGATCTCAAAAATCAGAAAATGAGTGGGGCCAATTCTTGATCCATCTCCACATTGCTATCTCAATTTTTGAATCCGACCTCCGAGGCTAGAGCTCTTTCTGCACATGGCCGACTCGGCTGGAGCCATGAGGGTTCGCTTCACCTTGGATTGGAGGTTGCACAGTGACAAGTCGTTGCTGACCAAACAAATGGCCAAATTGCAAGGCTGGAAAACTGGACTAACTGAAGACCTTCCAATTTCATCAACTTCATCAATTTCCATTGCCGAATCGAAGCCTCAAAATGCCGAAGTGGTAGGGGTGAAGAATGGGCTGTGGGTCTCTAATGATCATGTCGCACTATGCCACTGCACGAGTCTGATATCTACTTGAACATGTGCGCTACTTAGGATCTTTTGAACTTCATTTCCAATGGGATTTGGTGCCTGTTTCAGAGAGTAGAGACTTGGCAACGACAGGTCCGGCAATTCACATTGTCTTTGATGCTCCTCTGAGCAAGAAGGAGTGGCAAGGCAGGGAGATGACTCAGTACTCGGCTTGTCCAAACTACTGCAGGTAACATGACCAACTGACGACCCTGTGAGGCCTCCGTGAGTTGGAACCCAAATGGGCGAAGCTCTTCGCTTTCTCCGACATGGTGTCGGTAGTCAGCAAGGATTGCGCCGTGTTCCTGGACCCGCTGAAAGGACACTTGCAAGACTTGTTGGAGTGTTCAGATCGATTCTGGCTCAGCTTATCTTCGAAGGATTTGCACAAGAAGTGGCCAGATCAGTTCAGGCCTTTCGAAACAGGACTTCAGAACGTCTTTTCGGGAGAGACCAAAGCCACGGTGGTTCGGTTGCCATTGCGAGACGCAGGTGGCACTCTCATGGAAAAACAGAAGTTTCGGGACGATCTCCATCGGCAAATCTTGCAGGCAAGAAACAAACGAGACTTACTGAACTGTACTTGTAAAGCTGATTTCAGATTCATTTCAGGAATTTAAACGATGCATCAACTGGGCTGTTGAACAAGCTTCTCTTGTGCTTGCCACGAGGTGACGTCCTATCAAAACTGGCTTCTTTTCACGAAGAAAAAGTTGCGAAGGATCTTGATCCACGAGATTTCGGAGAGGGAACCGGAAAAAGATCCTACGTTCCAAGATCTTTACACCATTCTGGCGGATGTTGAACGTGTTGGACCTACGCAGGAGACGTCAGCAGAAGAATCCTCTGTGACTCGGATTTGCTTATAGTATCTTATAGTATCTTATAGTTCTAGATCTCTGTTGCCCCTTTAGCATGTCCCAGGAATCAAAACCCATCGAAGACAAATTGTTTTGCATGGGACCTTCCTTCCAGTCACTACCAATCCCTTTACTCGTTTTCAGAATTGGGGACCCTTGGCCAAGGTCATTGAGAAGCGATCCTTGCAGGTGAAGCAGGGAGGTGAGGAGCCATGCCAACAGCGACCCAGTCAGGCAGCGAAGGAGGAGAGCTGCGGGATATGCGGAGGGTCTACTATGAGTCCATTTTTCATGCGCTACGTCGAAACAGATCCAAACAGGAAGGACACCAAACAGACAACAGGAAGGTGGTTTCTGATGGTATCCTTTGCTGAAATGAGCAATCTTTTGGGTGGAATTTGGGGTCTCAGCGCGAGGAGAAGCCGACGAAGTGGTTAGTGGGCTGGCGGAATTCCATGGCAGTCGCATGCCTCCGAGGCAGCGTGGAAAACTTCCAGCCAAGTGTGGGAACAGGAGCTCGTTTGGTCCCACAATCTCCAGTGGTGTTTAGAGGTGCCGGGGCTTATTCTAATTCACAGCCGAAGTGGATGAAGCATGGATTAAAGGAATACTGAAGTACCTGGCTGTTTCGCTGCTTTTACTGTTTGGGTTGAGAATCCTTTTGCTAGTCTTTTTCAAAGGAATCATGGCTCCGTGTTGCTGAAATAGCTCAACTCAAGCTTCCGCATGCTGTGGTGGTTTGTCATGGGCCGGTGGCAGCTAGCTGAACATCTGGGGTAAAAGGAGGCATTACTGGAGCGAAGTAGATAACAGGTACTCCTGAGCAGTGAAACTCCCAAAGCTTGTCGTTGGACCAATCAGTATCATGTTGCAAGATGCGCTCTGGTCAAGATGAAACGGAAAAGTGACGATATCTACAGGACAACCATTTTTGAACACCATTTTTTTTCAGCTTTCATAGTCGATTTCCGGGTGTTGCGTTCCATAGCAGAACCAAGTAAGACGCCTTCACTGCTGCAGCCCAGGTGCTCATGTCTTTGGGATGGAGCAAGTGCAATTGGAGAGGATAACCATGGGCACGGCATCCGATCAAGACATGAACACTCTGGCGAATGCAACTTGCCTGAAAAAGGAGAAGAGTCAGCATGCCCTTGGCACCCCAGTTTTGGGTCTCTAAACAAACTCACTGAGTGAAAGCTTCAAGAAGTGGTTGAACAGCCCCTTACCTTGAACGCCAAAGTCAGCTATATCAGGTATACAGATGTATATAGTACTAGTATATTATATACGTATGATAAATATATATGATATATATATATATTGTATATATATATATATTGTATATATATATTGTATATATATATATTGTATATATATATTGTATATATATATATATTGTATATATATATATATTGTATATATATATATTGTATATATATATACATATTGTATATTGTATATGTGTATATATCTATCTATATATGTATATATATATATTGTATGTATATATATATGTATATATATATACATATCTGTGTGTGCATGGACAAGTAATGATGCGTATGCCTGTATGCCGTAACTGGGGACACAAGCTCACAAGATTCCCATAGGCGCCCAATGACACCAATGAACTCTTTGAATTGCACTCGGCAATTTGGCCGGCATTCATGTCCCCTCATGATCTGGGGTAATCCAATTACCTCCAATTTCCGATCCACTACTTGAAGCCTCATATTTAAGATGCGGAAATTTGCTTGATTCGGACCTCATCAAAGGTTTCAAACTCAGCAGGATGGCCGAGTCCATCGATCAACATCCAAAGGTTACGGCTGCGTGCTAATCGAATGGGATTATACTTGCCGGTTGAAATTGTAGTGGCCTCGCAAATGACCTCACCATAAATGATTGGCTAGGAAGCGCACATAGAGATCCGCTGACATCTCCAGGTGGCGGTGGACCTCGTTCTGCACATCTGGGCCGATGAACATCAATTCTTTCGGCCCCTGCTGCCTCAACAGCTGCAGCAGTTGCAGGGGACACTAAGCCTTGCCAGGCCGATGCAATCATGCTTGTAGCAGATTATAGGGAGTCTATTGTACCATGTTGAACCAACTGGTTGAATGTGGATTGTGACAATATACACTAACAATCCAACATGGTAATCCCTATCAACCAGTAGAAGTGGACTGATATAGAGGTTTTGGGCTCTGCAGAATGATGATATCGATGATGTATAGATTCCGATTGTGGTAAACCCAATGGTCAACTTGCAATTTTTCATGGCAAACCATCCATTTCTAGTAGTTTTGGGGATGGTTTAATGGCAGCCTATGGCATTCGGTTTCCCACAAATTCTATGACCAGAGAACCGGTCATGTTTCAGGCGCTTCGCCGATGCCCTGGTGGATCGCTTCCAGATTCAGGGCCGAAAGCTGCGGCAGTGCTTCTCCGCCCCGAAAGCCGAGCTGCTGTTGGCGCACGGAGACTTCCAGCGCTGGCTGGCAGATGCACTGCAGGTGCAACGGAAAGAAACATTGGGAAAACATGGGAACTCTCCAAGATCCCATGTGCACCATGGTGTTCATGATCATTTTCCGGAAATCAAACATGTTCGGAACCCCCCCAAAAGTTCCATGGGTTTGGAAAATAACAATTGCCATTAGGACTGACATAAAATGGTGTATCCATCATTTTCTGGACAGGTGGTGGTGCTTCCGAAGGAGTTGGCAGAACTCTTTGCGCAGGATGCAAGCTTGAATATTCGACCACCAGCGGTCACGCATGTCTTGCAGGGCTTTGGTGGACTCCCGGTAAAGCATGCGAAAATTGCGTGTAAATGGCTCTTCGAAGGCGGGATGGTTGAGAGACAGCTTGGTGTGGTCAGTAAGAGTGATTTGTTGAAAGCAAGTATCCAATAGATTCCAATAGTTGACGACTGCTACATGGTCCCGGCAAGACAGTTATCCCTTGATATAGTGGGGCTCTGGTCTTTTGCCTCACCCTGGGCACCTTGAAAGCCGCAGGTTTCCCGGACGCCAAGCAGGTCTTGGCCCAGGGCTTCCGCGGATCCGTGCATCTTCTGCAACGTGAAGATGGCAGCTATGGCAACTTTGAGGGCTGGACCTGGTTCATCCAGGGAGACTCGGACTCGGAAGCAGCAGCCTGGCGTCAACTGATTGCGCACTCCAAGCCCTCCAAGAAGGTCATCATGCCGAGTGACGTGGCCAAGAAGCACTTCGACCAATCCTTGGGCGTCTTGAAGCCCGAGAAGCGCCTTGGATAACTGGAGAATGGTGGTGTAAACGGCAAACAAGGGAATATGAACAACAACATGTGCAACATGTGTCTTGTTGCCGTTGATGATTGCGGCTAGTTATATTTGCTTTTGGTGGTGTTGGTGCTGCAGCTATGGCAGCCTCTGCTAGTCTTCCTTTCTGAGGATTGCCCACGTGGCCCTGAGCCCTTCAGATGTGAACGCACCCCACTTCTGGCGCCTGCTGAATCTGGGAGTCTATCAAGGACAGGAGAATGACTTGTCAAAGCTGTGTGGCAAGTTGAAAGTCAGAGCAAGCCGTTTGAATCAGAGCATTCACGTGAACTTTGACGAGCACTGTGTCCTCATAGGTGCTTTTGGGATATGGGTCGGGCATGGTCGGGCTGTGATGTTGGGGTGCTCGGTCCAGTTGGTATGTATCAAGTTCATTCGTTTCCAGACATGCTTCTGTTGCGTTTAATCGAGCCCACTTGTATCGACTTCCATTCATCTCAGAATTGTCAGAGTGTTTTATTTCAGCCAGCAGAGAAAGTCCGGTTGTCACTTTTTGATAAACATTTTGTTCTCCAGCTGGCACCCATCATTTTTTCCAGGTGGCAGCAAACTGAAAGCCGAAGATGCGCTGGTGGCCATCGGCTGCCAGCTGGCTGTAGATCCGGTCCCATCGCCCTTCGCTGGCAGCAAGCCACTGGACGTGGCCAAGCATGTGCAGTGGCTCAGATCTAGACAGTTGCTGCAAGTGGAAGCTGCGCTTGATGGACACAAGGAGCGGATGTGTGTATGGAGCTGTGGCCAAGAAAACTAGGACTTTGAAGGTCAAAGTGTCTTCGGTTTTTCAAGTGTTCAAAGCAGTTGCCGCAAGAACACGTGTTGACCCTTGGGAAATTTACCATGACTTTCACATCTTTGATTCATGATTGATCTGTTTCTGCTGCCCAGAAGCCACGTTTCTGCGATGTGAGGAGAAGCTGTGCCAAGTCTACTTGGAGGAGTCGATGGACCTGGAAGTATTGAGGATTTTCGTGGAGCTGCCCATCGTCAAGGGCAGCGGATCCCATATGGCCTTGAGCCAATTCTGCACCTAGGAAGTGACGTAAACAAGGTGAGTCACCCCTGTGAGATGTTGTGAGTTTCTGGGAATTGATACTGAATTGATACTGGTTAATCATAGTTTGTTAATCTGGTTTGATATCTTGTGACCTCAGAGGGGAACTCTCGTGGCAACGCTGCCTGTAACACTATATGACCCTGCGACCCTGCAGATTTTGTTTGCATGTGCGCTCCCAGTGTGTTGTTTCTGGCCTTGGAAACCGCCACATTTTTCCATGCACTCTCAGATTTGAAACCCAAGGCATTGTCAGATGTCCTCAGTTGGCTATGGCCGCCCGAAGTTCAGGTCTACAGGCCTGAGCTTAATCCTTTTTTCTTCTGGTTCAAATCCTTTGACTGACTTTAGGTTCTACCAGCAATTGGATGTCCATCCCAGTTAGTAAGTGGTCAATATCCATGTTACAACCCAATTATATGATATTGACAATGTATTGTATTCTGTAAATATGTATATAAATATATATGTATAAATATAAATGTATATATATATGTATATATATATGTATGTATATATATACATATATATATATAGATACATGTATATATATATATACATATATATACATATTATATGTATATATATATATATATACATATATACATATATATATATACATACATATATATACATATATATACATACATATATACATATACATATATATATACATACATATATATATATATATAAATGGTCCAGCGTTCCAACCCCCCTCCCCCCCGGCCATGGTCATGGGTCAGCCATAGTACTGTGCCCCTCCCCCCGCCGTGGTGTGGTGGGGGTGTGGTACTGCGCATATATATATATATGTTTATATATATATGAATATAATATGAAACTATGTGTACATGTGCGTATATATATATATATGTATGTATGTATGTATGTATGTATGTATGTATGTATGTATGTATGTATGTATGTATGTATGTATGTTGACTTGTAAGGGTTCCTATGTAGTATGTTTCACTAATTAACATGGTTAGGATGTTGTTTGTTTCACTACCGCAGCCCTTTTTCAAGGAGGTAGCTAGCTGACAGAGCCCAAAAGTCCGCTGCATGGTAGCGGAGCTCCTGGTGAGGAGCCTAAGGCACTGGTGTGGAGGCTGGTGCTTGGAGCGCCTGAGGCGCAGAGCTGCTTCAGCTCGCGCCCGGACCAACTGGGTCCGTCTGGTACGCAAGCTGTACTGGGTGAGGAAGTTGCAACGCATCTTCCACAACGTTGGGGTCTTCCTACAAGGATTTCCCAGGAGGCTGTTGGACCAAGTTAGGAGGTTGCAGCAATGTCAGCCCCAACGAGCCCTACAGCACAAGGTGGTGGCGCTGAAGTTGTCTTTGGACAGATACTACAAACCATGCAAGCTGGTATGCAACAGATGGCCCAAGACTCACAGCAGAGGTTCGAATTGCTGGAAAGAGGCCTACGTGAGCAGTCCCAGTTTCTACAGGCCAGCGCAACAGCGCAAATGACTGCACTGGAAACTCTCTCAAAGAAGTCCAAGGTGGTGGACGTGAAGGGAGTGGGCAAACCTGACGTACTGAAAGGGAGCCATGAAGAGGCAAAGCGTGCATGGAAAAGTTGGGCGTATAAGTTTGAGTCATGGTTTGTGTCGCAGTACCCAGATGCTGGACAACAAGCTTTAGACTGGGCAAAGGAGAAGGGTGACACAACCATCTTTGACTCAGATGTCCAGCAGAAGGCCAACACCTTAACCGATCTCCGCAAAATGGATGGGCACTTGCACGTCGCCCTGGTGTCACTGACATCAGGAATGCCATACGACGTGGTGTTCAATGCCAGGAAGAAGTGTGGACTGGACGCCTGGAGGAGACTGAACCATGTGTATGAGCCTTGGAACCCACGGTCAAACATGAGGCTTCTACGAAGGATACTGGTGCAACCTAGGGCAACCTTGGATGGCTTGAGAGCCGCCATCGACCGTTGGGAGGCCGACCTGGTGGAGTATGTGCAGAGAGGAAACCGTGACCTGGATGACCCACAGAAGGTGACCATCTTGCTGAGTATGGTACCTGAGTCCCTGGAAGATCACCTGGAGATGAATATGAGCCGGCTGGACACCTATGTTAAAGCGCGGTCGGAAGTCATCTCCTACACAGAACAGAAGGCCTTCAAGGCCGATGCCGATAGCGGTGGCGCTGCCCCTATGGAGCTGGATGCCTTCAATGGGAACTCCAAGGGTAGCAGCAAAGGTACCAAAGGTGGCAAGGGCAAAGGAAAGGATGGCAACAAGAACAATCCCGACAAGGATGTGGTATGTCACCTATGTGGAAAGAAAGGACACCGAAAGGCCAATTGCTGGCACGCAAAGGCCAATGGGGGCTCTGGCCAACCGCCAAGTCAGAAGGGCAACTCCCAGCCCAATACCAAGAATGGCAAAGGAAAGGGACAACAGAAAGGTAAAGGCCAAGGGAAAGGCTCCAAAGGCAAGGCTCACGCCTTGGAAGGCGAAGCTGAAGGAGATCAAGCCGCTGAGCAGGAGTGGCTGGATGGTGATGAACCTGAGCGAGAAGGCAACTTGGGACTCTTGTGCGTGGCCCGAGGGTCGAGTACTGGCTCAGTACCGTCCCCGGGTCGCACAGGGTCGCCAATGGATGGGGAGACAGCCACCAAGATCGTGTGCCCGGAGCACGGCAATCTCTCCTGGTTCTGGTCGAGGCCTTGGGACGATGTGGTCTCGGAGTGCAAGAGAGAATTAAGTAGAGCGGACCCGATCTACCGGTGCACAGTGCCCAACTGCAAGGGGCACCTGTGGTCCAAGTTACAGACAATGGGTCACCCTGTGCAAGAGCAGTGGGATGCCTGGAAGGTCGCGGCCAAACGAGGTCACTACATCAGGCCAGAGCTGCCTGGTGAGGAGGAGTTCCCCAGGAACCCCGTGCACTGTGGGAAGGATCCCATTTGGGTACATTTGCCAAGAGAGCCGGACTACTCCAAGCACAAGGACAATTACGAATCCGAACCGGGAGACGAAGAGGAAGGAATGCAAAGCGCCGAGAAAGAGGAAGCTCAAGAAGAAACTGCCGAGGAAGAGTCCCCGGTGAGCGATTACATCGTCGAGGAGTTACTAGTTGGAGAAGATGACAACCGGACACGGAAGTCGAGTACTGCTTCAGTACCGTCTTCTAGGTCCAATAGGTCCAGAACTCCACTTCCAAGGAGAAGATGTCCTGTGGAAGCTGAAGAAGAGAAGCCAGGATCCGGCGCTGTGTCTGGATCGACTGCGGGATCCTCTGTGCAGAAGTATGTTCCCCCTCACAAGCGACAAGCTGAGTCATCAAAGGGCAAGTGCTCTGTGGGTGGAGCTTCGTCTTCGAAGCCCGCCCCATATGAGCTGACTGCTGCTTCAAGAGCCATCATGCTTGGAGAACTCCTAGGCAAACGGAATGATGAGCTGGAGGAACGACGTGCATTCTTGGATGATCCCAAGTGTCAAGGGGCTACTCGAACTGAAACCTTGCGGACATGATCGCCAAGTTGGAACTTGAGCTTGAGGATCTGAAGGGTGAACAGCGAACTGTCCGACGAAAGCAACGAGAAGGGTTTTCTTCACGGCAAGAAAGAGACAAGGAAGTTCTTGGAGGACGCTTGGCCTACCTGAAGGAGAGGTCAAGGAAACGCGCTGCAAGTAAAAGAAGGGAAGGTCACGTGGATCGCGTAAAGGAGAAGTTGCAGAAGGAAGACGAATGGTGGAAACGCCTCAACCAACCTGGTAAAGGGCGAAAGGTGCGAGTCTTCCCTTTGGCGGAAGGAGAGTTGGCAGGCGAAGTACAAGCAGCACCTTTGTCGAAGAAGGCCAAGACGGCGCTTCTGGAGGAAGAAGAGCAAGCGTTCCTTGAGTTGCCGCAGCATAGGCCGCGGACTAAGGAGCTGCCGCCGTCAGCAAGGAAGTTGACGCCAAAGAAAAGAGCAGCCAAGCACAAAAGAGAACGAAGGCGAGAGCAACGCCAGAAGGCAGACAAGGAGCAAGGAAAAGGCAAAGGATCAGCCAAGGGTGAGAGTAGAGCCAAGGGTACGGGGCATTTGGCTTCGTTCTCTGGTTCAAGCGGCATGGGTACCGCTACGGGTGCTTACCCTGGCTGGACAAGAGTCGATTTCGTCATTGACTCGGGCGCAAGCGCAACTACCATTCCCAAAGGATTGGTGGGAAAGGTGAAGCTGGACGAGCCCATTGGTTACCACAGTTTCAAACTTGCAGATGGGAAGGTGGTCACCAATGACGGAACCTTGACAGCCAAGGCGTGGCTGATGGGCAATGAGGTGATGGTTGTGCGGATGTCAGTGGCAGACATCTCGCAGCCGCTTCTATCCGTTGGCCAGATGGTCAACCAGGGCAACAAAGTAGTCCTCTCCCCCAAGGTAAGCTACTTGGAAACCAAGGGTGGCGGAATTCACCGCATCTTCCAGAGGAATGGTGTGTATGTTCTGCCGCTGTGGCTGGATAGCGCGAAGATGGCCCCAACTGACCCTTTTGTAGGGCAGGGCCACGGCAGCCTGTAAGACCTAAAGCAGAGAGGGCGGAGAGCTGTTTCAGCTCCGGCCCCGCTGTAGCTGGGGTACAGAGCCGTTTCGGTTCGTGCCCCCAGCAACCCACTGGACAAATGGCCCCCGCTGAAGGCCAACAAGAGGAGTTGGATGCCGAACAGATCGCTGAGGGCGTGCTGGAGGCACCGCAGCTGGTCGAGGCAGAAGAAGGGAGGGCAGCGAAACCGATCAGATCTCCCAGTCTGCCCAGCCTTGAAGAGGTGGAGGCTCATTCGGTGAGTCACATCCCCTTCCGAGCCTGGTGTTCGCACTGCGTGCGAGGCAAGAGGCAAAAGCTATGCGCATCGTCGGGTGGTTCGGTCCGATGACACTGAACATTAGCATCGACTATGGGTTCTTTGGAGCCCCAGGAGAGCTCCCTGCTGACGCAGTCGGAGGCCATAAGATGCCGATACTGGTGGCAAGAGATCGACGAAGCAAAGCATTGTTCACACACTTGGTTCCATCCAAAGGTGTGGAACATTTGTACCCCGAGCAAGCACTATGTCGAGACATACGATTCTTGGCATACCCAGAGGTGGTTGTGAAGAGCGACCAAGAGCCAGCCATCAAGGCTGTGGCTGAAGCGGTGAAGAACGCGTTCGCTGCTTCAAATATACGGGTGCAACTCGAGCATTCTCCCAAGGGAGATCACCATGGGAAATCCAATGGCGAGGCCGAGGCCGCTGTTGAAATTACCCAAGGGTTGTGCCGGACGTACAAGGATGCCTGTGAGACGGGCATGGGCAA